TAGGTCTTGTCCAGAGAAAAAAAAATCCATCTTGTTAAGCTAAATGTACGATGATGTAATTGCATCTACTGAAGATCACATGGGTCATGCACCATGGAGTTATTAGTAATTAGAAAAACTAGTTATTAACTAGTTGTTAGTTATTAGTTAGCAGTGTTGGCTCATATCAGCAATTATACTGTAATGATTCAGAGTCTCTGGTTGCTCTTTTATGAGTGTTATTTTCGGGCTACTGTCGCCATAACCCACACCTTACAAACTCAACTTTCTCATCAGAATCACTCGTAACGGAGTATTTACTAGCATAGCAAACCAGAGCGGAAAAACCGGAACAACATTTCTCACCCGTTGAGTTCGCCTTCAAAATAAAACGGTAACCCTATAGTTTACTATTCAAACCCTTACAATATGTTTCAGGTCATTTGGCCACTCCGGCTTTCCGTAGCCGTTTCCTCATTACACAGGGGAGGGAGGGGTTTGGCTAGTCTCTCCGCACAAGCAGGATGGAAAACAGAACTCCGTTGGCATTGAACGTCCCCAAATAATTAAAAACCAGGAGGCCAAATGCAAAGTTTAGAGCAGCACATTTACCCAGAGGCTCTCAGACTGAGCAAACTTGTGAGAATACACGTAATAGCCGCTTAGAGACGGAGCAACATGTCGCTAGCATAGCGGCTAATCGCTAGCATAGCAGTTTGGCCAGTTATATCGATATAAAGATATAAAGTCATCTTATATCTTGTTTAAAATTATACCGATATTTAAAGAATATCGATATATCGCCCAGCCCTAGGCTCACGACAGCATTGTGACATCATAATGTACCAGTTTACATCATAGCATACTTCTTAGCCAATAGCGGTGGCAGATTTAAATTAAAATACAGTGCAGAGTTTTTACCTGACAACGGCACAACACTGACAGTTTTAGGCAGAATATTTAAATTTTAACTAAGATGCACTGAAGTGCCAAATTATTGACGACACGTGTCTGCAGCACGATTAGACACTCGTTTATTTAGTTTATCAGCAAAAAAAGTTTATTTGGGGGTGACTTGCTCTTTAAGGGCAATTCTCATCTGTTTTGTTTGATCTCATCTGTAGACATTTATTATAATTGGGGATGTCAAACAACAAATTTTTCAATGTAATTAAACATAGGCTGTGAATTAATCAAAATTAATCACTATTTCAAAAAATGACTGAAAAAATACCAAATAAAACAAAAGTAAATGATAGGGCTGCAACAACGAATCGATAAATTCGATGAAAATCGATTACTAAAAGCGTTGGCAACGAATTGCGTCATCGATTCGTTGTGTTGCACAACTCTTCCAAAAGCCCCCTCCCCTCCCGCCCGCCGTTGCGCGCATACCGGTGGAGAGCTGGCAGGTGTTTGTAAAAGAGGAACATGGCAGAAGCAGCGAGACCCCAAAAAAAGTAAAAACTTCTAAAGTTTGGGAGCATTTTCAGTTAAATCAGGCGAAGACATGCAACGTTTGTAGGTCAGACTTAGCATGGCACCGGGATACTACGGTGATGATGCAGCGTCTTAAACGCAAGCATGTCAGAATCATCAGCGAGGAAGGAGAGAGCTCTGCATCCGGGTAAGTTAAAAACTTTTCAAAAGTGATTTACCCAAGCCCCGGATTATTACACAGGCTAGACATGCCCTAAGCTCGTTAAAAAAAGTCTATAAAATTGTAAGCGCGACGCTATTAGATAGGCGGGGGGGTGGGGGTGGGGGGTGGACTCGCGCCGCTGCGAACCGGTTCCGCCGTCACATTCCCGCAGAAACTGGTTGATCACACCGGGGCCAGACTACTAGCATGTGGCTTTACAACCACAATGTCCTCAGAAGCGAAAACGCTTTTAAAAGGGAGGGAGGAGTCCTAACTGTTGCTGCAGGCGTGTTGTGTGAGAGTGCAGTTATATACTGGTTAATATATTTTTGGATTCAGTTGCTTTCATGTGGCCTAATGTGAGTCTATTTGGGATCATTGGAATGATCAGCAGCATTTCTTGATGTGACTTTATGGCAGTTGCCCAGGGCATCATCGCAAGGAGGATGGCATTCATTTACTTTTGTTTTATTTGGTATTTTTCAGTCATTTGTGGAAATAGTGATCAATTTTGATTAATTCACAGCCTATGTTTAATTACATTTAAAAATTAGTTGTTTGACATCCCCAATTATAATAAATGTCTACAGATGAGATCAAACAAAACAGATGAGAATTGCCCTTAAAGAGCAAGTCACCCCCAAATAAACTTTTTTTTGCTGATAAACTAAATAAACGAGTGTCTAATCGTGCTGCAGACACGTGTCGTCAATAATTTGGCACTTCAGTGCATCTTAGTTAAAATTTAAATATTCTGCCTAAAACTGGCAGTGTTGTGCCGTTGTCAGGTAAAAACTCTGCACTGTATTTTAATTTAAATCTGCCACCGCTATTGGCTGAGAAGTATGCTATGATGTAAACTGGTACATTATGATGTCACAATGCTGTCGTGAGCCTGAGTCTGTGTGTATTTGTTAGCGGCTCCACCCTCTCGGTCTGCCAGGCAACAGCATGTGTTGCATTTTTCAAACATGAAGCGCGAGTAGAGTTAGACTCTGGTAGGGGTTGACTTGCTCTTTAAGCTGTTTAATTGGACCAAGCATTTTAGGTCACAGATAGGTGTAGCTTAGGGTGTCTGTCTATACACCTTATAAGACAATTTAGGTGATGGCATGTTGTTTTTCTGCTATTGAACTGTTTTCTAATAATGTTGTGTTTAATAAAGTGAAGGAAGGAGAAAAATAACATTTCCCTAGCAGTTTTTAAAAATGTCCCTATGTAATCCGATTAATCGATTAATCGTGTCGAGACCCCATCTGATTAATCGATTATCCAAATAATCGTTTGTTGCAGCCCTAGTAAATGAATGCCATCCTCCTTGCGATGATGCCCTGGGCAACTGCCATAAAGTCAAATCAAGAGATGCTGCTGATCATTCCAATGATCCCAAATAGACTCACATTAGGCCACATGAAAGCAACTGAACCCAAAAATATATTAACCAGTATATAACTGCACTCTCTCTCATACAACACGCCTGCAGCAACAGTTAGGACTCCTCCCTCCCTTTTAAAAGCGTTTTCGCTTCTGAGGACATTGTGGCTGTAAAGCCACATGCTAGTAGTCTGGCCCCGGTGTGATCAACCAGTTTCTGCGGGAATGTGATGGCGGAACCGGTTCGCAGCAGCGCGAGTCCCCCCCCCCCCCCACTTATCTAATAGCGTCGCGCTTATGATTTTATAGACTTTTTTTAACGAGCTTAGGGCATGTCTAGCCTGTGTGATAATCCTGGGCTTGAGTGAATCACTTTTGAAAAGTTTTTAACTTACCCGGACACTGAGCTCTCTCCTTCCTCGCTGATGATTCTGACATGCTTGCGTTTAAGATGCTGCATCATCACTGTAGTACTCCCGTGCCATGCTAAGTCTGACCTACAAACGTTGCAGGTAACGGATGTCTTCGCCTGATTTGACTGAAAATGCTCCCAAACTTTAGAAGTTTTTACTTTTTTTGGGTCTCGCTGCTTCTGCCATTTTCCTCTTCCAAACACCTGCCGGCTCTCTGGTCTGCGCGCAACGGCGGGCGGGAGGGGAGGGGGGGGCTTTTGGAAGAGTTGTGCAACACAACGAATCGATGACGCAATTAGTTGCCAACGCTTTTAGTAATCGATTTTCATCGAATTTATCGATTCGTTGTTGCAGCCCTACCTGCAAACAAAACAAAACAAAAAAGACATAAGGCCTACATTATATCACAGTACAGGGTAAGGCTTCACTTTTATGGATAAAAAATCAAATCTGACATAATTGCTGAAAGAACTACTCGGATTGTAGCTTTAAGGCGCAGAGGCTGTTGGAGACTGAATATTTAAGCTGGGAAACAAACTAAGGTTTAAAAAAAATTGTGACAGGACAAAAATGGACATTATAGACCGCTGTTGCTTTTATGTTTGGTAGAAAGGTATACTTGGGATGTTTGTGCATTTATTTCACTATTATTATAGTGAGATTTAGTGCTCATTTAGAGAAGGAAAATAAATGGTTGTTTTGGAATTGTAGTAATTTTCCCACTATTCATTTGAATTCTTAGTAGGATTAGGAAGGGAAATCTTTTAACACATAGGCCGGGCGTACACTGTGCGACTTTATCACTTTTTTGAGTCGATTTTCCACTCGTGCGAGAATCCACAAGATCGGGGCGAGTTTTGCGCCGAGCGTCGTGTAGTGTACAGGGGATTACAAGAGGTGATTAACACCACGTGACCAGCTACCGATCAGCAATCGTGAGCTCGCACAGACTTCTGGAGTGTTTGATATTTTGCTCATTCCTCGTGAGGGTTGAAGCGGCGTAGCGAGCGGCTGCAACCCAAAATGTACCAGAACCAGGCACATGCGCAGTCATGCTCACCCGCTATTTCCCTAATAACACATATTCGTTTTTATTTCTAAACGTTTTATTAACGCACAGGATTGTCAAGGATTGTCAAGAAAGCGTGTTTGTCGTGTTCATGTAAATTAAACTGATCACAAAACACAGATTTTCTTTCTTTATTTCGTTTTCCTCATCCAACCCCCATAAATCCCTGTGTGTCCTCCTGCAGCACTCCCAAAGGACAACAGGCAAAACAAGACAAAAAAGTCTGATGTGTTGTGTAAAAACTGCTATTTTTAGCATATTTTTAGGTCCGACGTGTTGCTACCAGACGTAGACGCATCCGAGAACTGGGCCGTACAGTGTGAGCACATGACTCGTGAGTTCTGCCCTGCGAGGAAGTCGTACAGTTTGAGCTGAAGCTGAGTGCTACGAGTGAAAAAGTCGCACAGTGTCCGCCCAGCTTTAGCCAAACCAAGATTTTTTTCCTACCAATGACTCGTCTGAAAAGAGACCCCCAAAAAATACACACTTTTAGTAAATGCGTCCATTTTTTAAACACAGGTACCTTTCAGAGTTGAGATACATCAGCTTGGCCACATTGTAACACATGCGAGCTTCCAGTACAGTGCAGTTCTCATACGCTTTTCTATAAAAAACAACAACAAAGAGGTAGTGAGGAAAACTAACGTTTTAAAGTTTTGTTTTAAAAAAGCACAAATACAGAAATAATGACTTTAAAAAAATTATAAATCAGCAGCATGCATTTATATTAAATCTCCCCTACTATATTAAGAATCCAAATGAGTTTTATTTTTAAAGCAGAAGAGGGAAAAATTATAAAAGGTTTCGGGAAATACCATTTGGCCAAGTAGGAAGTGAGTGTGTCTTTTTAGACACATGATCTGCTTAATTCTGCTCATCTGGCTGCTATTATGAACAATTATGAACATAAACCTGCTATTGTTTCATTTTACCAATGGGGAGGAGGAAAGGACAGCAGCTTCAGCAGGGGGAAGCATCTCTCGTGAATTTTAATAGATACCGCACAGTTTACTGCCACGTCAGCAAAGCAGCATGCCTTTTATTAAAATAACTGTTGAAAGAGAAATACTTACTCAAAATGTTGCTTTATCTCACTTTCCTCTGCATATTTAGAGATGCCGCTAATAAATAAAGTGCGTTTCACCTTTATGAACAAAAAAAAAACACATTTAACATACATGAGCTAAATATGCAGAAAGTTCACCTAATTTCATTAAACTTTACCAGATCATCCTCTTTGTAGTGCATCTTTGACGTGTGCCGTCTCATACTGTATACCGTCAATAACAGGTAGAGAAAGGCAAATGTAGTGTGCAGCCACAGCAGTGTATTACTGGGGAGATCAAAGGCACACATTTAGCCACAGCATCAGTAAACAAACTCAGTTTTAATCTCTAAAGTACAGTTTGTGTCAAATGAAGGGATGTGGAAGTGTTACTCACTCTGTATTAAGGTTAGCAATTGTAGTTCGTCCAAAACTATAGGCGTTGTTTTCTGAAGGTAAAAAAGATAAACACAAGACAGTGTTTTGCAAGGCTGCCATTTGATTGGACTGCACACAAAACAGCAATGAACATGAACACAAAGAAGCAGCTAATTAAAATGATGACAGGAATATGGTCACAATGTTTGCTGCAGCAGTTTTCACATAAAAAACAATTGCACAAACTCCAGATTGTTCTGAAGAGTAATCCGATGAATTGCAATTAATGGTACCTAAACGTCCTCCAAGAGGAACTCCTCTCAAAGCTTTCTGCACAAACTTATGGCCATGTTCAGTGAGAGAACTTTAATACTAGGGATGTGAATCTCAGAGCAACTCACAATTTGATCCGATTCCGATTCTTGGGGTGCCGATTCGATTCAGAATCGATTCTCGATTTAAATCGATTCACAATCAATATTAACAAAGAGTGTCAGTTCCAGGATTAACTACTTTGTTGTGCAAGTTACTTAAAGCTATTGGAATTTTTTTATTTTACTTTCAACTGGTCATGCTAAAAAAAAGCTAATTTACAAGGTAAAATAAAGTGATTCTAAAACTGTAAACAGAAGCAATCTTTTGACCAAAAGACAACATTTATTTTTGCTTACCTTGTAAAATATAACAAATCTTTAGTTACCTAACAGTAGCTTTGAAAGTAATACAGTCAAATACTTTTAAGTATGTGTGGAAACAAGTTTAACATTTGAGTCCTCAACCTGTTTAAAAAAAGTGCCTCAGATTTCTTACAAAGGAAACTGTTTTCTCTCATTTATCAATAACTTCAAATAATCACATGAGTAATCCTGAGTACTCACTTATCAACTTAGAAAAAAATATATATGAGAATATCTCAAATTTCTGAGTATGGAAAAAACATATATTCAAGTGCCCTCTTATCAGCAGATTCAAACATAAATCATCCCAATTTATGGGACCACAAAAGTAAACGGAGTACTATCTCTCCTAACAAAGATAAAAATAAAAAAAACAGACAAAAGTGCATCTCAAACCTGTAACATGCCAAACATTTGAGTTCCTGGAATCGATTCTGAACCTTTGTGAATCGATTCTGAATCTTTATAAATAAGTAGGGCTGCAACAAACGATTATTTGGATAATCGATTAATCGGACGGGGTCTCGACACGATTAATCAATTAATCGGATTACATGGGGAAATTTTTAAAAACTGCTAGGGAAACGTTATTTCTCTCCTTCCTTCACTTTATTTAACACAACATTATTAGAAAACAGTTCAATAGCAGAAAAACAACATGCCATCACCTAAATTGTCTTATAAGGTGTATAGACAGAGACCCTAAGCTACATCTATCTGTGACCTAAAATGCTTGGTCCAAGTTAAACAGCTTAAGGGCAATTCTCATCTGTTTTGTTTGATCTCATCTGTTGACATTTATTTTAAATGTAATTAAACATAGGCTGTGAATTAATCAAAACTGATCACCATTTCCAAAAATGACTGAAAAAGTACCAAATAAAACAAAAAGAAATGAATGCCATCCTCCTTGCGATGATGCCCTGGGCAACTGCCATAAAGTCACATCAAAAAATGCTGCTGATCATTCCAATGATCCCAAATAGACTCACATTAGGCCACATGAAAGCAACTGAACCCAAAAATACCAGTATATAACTGCACTCTCACACAACACGCCTGCAGCAACAGTTAGGACTCCTCCCTCCCTTTTAAAAGCGTTTTTGCTTCCGAGGACATTGTGGTTGTAAAACCACATGCTAGTAGTCTGGCCCCGGTGTGATCAACCAGTTTCTGCGGGAATGTGACGGCGGAACCAGGGCCAGATTAACACTTTGTTGTACCCTGGGCAACAATATTCAAGGGCTCCATCATCACGACCCAAGGATCACCATAATGTGGTCACATACAGAATATTTTACTGTAATATGCAGAAAATATACTCAATACTTGAATGCCTGACAACACGTAACCCGCCCAGAGTAACCTTTGACCCACCTCGTGTGGACTGACCAATGAGGAGAGGGTCTTAACTTGAGGCCCTCTCTTCATTGGTCAGTCTGCATGAGACTGACTCTCAACTGACATTCAGTCGTAGGCAGCGAAGCGTCTCTGTGCAGCGCAAAAGCCCGGGTGGACAGTTTGTTTAATATAGGGTGATCATATTTCCATTTCCAAACAAGAGGACAGGGAATCTGTGCCTATGACGTCACTCTATGGCAACGCCACACAAACCACGTTGGGACCCATTTTTTGTAAGAACTAAATTAATATCAGATTCTGCCAATAAAAGGGCTCTAAAACAATTCATATGTAAATATTTCGCATATTTAATGCAAAATCTCATTTTTATGCTTTAGTGCTGCAACAAGGTTTTATTAATAAGAAACTACCTTTTGTTTTACTACAGCATCGGTAAGCTTCCTGTGCACAGATTATTAAGGATGCTTGTTTCAGCTGTGAGATTAGACGATAGGATCAATGAAAAAATAAGTTGTCACACACTCCATGGAAACTTTCAGAGAATCCACAAATAGTGGCTTTCAAATGGTTTTGTTACTTTTTGCAAGTTTAGAAAAGCAGCAGATGAGACAGCGTGTCTGATAATTTAGTTTTTCAGCTGATAATATTAGAACATGTCAGTGATGTCTGAGGGGCTTTTATAAACACCATATAACTAACACTCCTGGAGAGGGTATGGATTACACAGAGGCTTCTGGGGAACCCAGTTATGGGGGGGGGGGGGGGGGGGCATTTTGCCTTGGCCCCCAAAATGTCTTGAAACGGCCCTGGGTGTGTGACTGAGTTTTGAAGGTGATCTGAATTGTATCAGATGTATAAATATGACGTGTATAACTTATTGTTTTTTACTGGTAAAAACGTGTAGTGGAGATAAATCTACCTACATTTGACTTTGTTTTCTTGTTTTTATTGAACTATTTTCCTGTCCTGTCTGTCTCTCATCTTCCTGCGTCTCCTCATAATTCTCCAGAAAATCTGTTGCCTGGATTCTTACCTTTTCACCTCATCAGTTACTTTTGAGCAGATCAAAGAGATCTCCTGACCGCAAAGCGCAGAGCGCGTTTTCGATGCTGCGTGAGGTGACATCACCACAGCACAGGTGATGAGCTCCGCAGTAGCGCGCTTCAGGCACAAATAAGACAGAAAATAGAGAACATGTGCAGACAAGAACGATCGTGTGCTAATTATAGTTTTTTGGTTGCGCCACTTTGAGAATGGACCGTGCGCTGGAAGCAGCTGCCTGGATCGCTGTGCAACAATGCGGAACCGGTTCGCAGCAGCGCAAGTCTGCAGGCTCTCCCTTGCGCTGATCTGCCGGTACCGGCTCTCTCTCGCGCTGATCTGCCGGTACCGGCTCTCTCGCGCGCTGATCTGCGGCTCTCCCTCGCGCTGATCTGCCGGCTCTCCCTCGCGCTGATCTGCGGCTCTCCCTCGCGCTGATCTGCGGCTCTCCCTCGCGCTGATCTGACTTGCTCTGGTCTGTGCGCAACGGTGGGCGGGGGGGCGGGGGGGGGGGGGGGGCTTTTGGAAGAGTTGTGCGACACAACGAATCGATGACGCAATTCGTTGCCAACGCTTTTAGTAATCGATTTTCATCGAATTTATCGATTCATTGTTGCAGCCCTATAAATAAGAATCCCGATTCAGACTTGAATCGATTTTTTTCAGCACCTCTATTTAATACTTATTTCTTTGTGCTGATTAGTACAAACTTCCTGAAATAAGAGCCCCAGAAGGTAGCGCGACTCATGTTGCGAATGACCGCAGTCTGATCTTTGAATTGTGTGTGCTGAAACTGAATTTCATTTCTCTGTATGTCCTGCACATGTGGAGAATATGACAATAAATGACTCTTGACTCTTGACTCTTGAGAGCTGTTTCCCCACAGAGATCAACTCACAAGGCATACATACATAGTAGAGACCACAGCAGATTTATTAGAAGGAAAAAAAAGTGAATGATACCTTTAATGAATGAAATTTGTACTTCGAACATTTGATAAGGTCTATAAAAACTTAAAATAATAAATTCATAATGTAAAATAAAAATATGCTTTCACAGAAGACGTTCTTTACACCAGTTTACACGTGTCAGTAAAATGTAAATAAAAACTAACATGTACTTTTCAAACAAATACTTAATTCCTAAAACAATGTTGATTATTCATTTTTAAATCGGATGTATTGGGATATTTAGGTCATACTTGGAAGTTTTTAGTCCTTCTTCATTAATTTCTCCATAGTCAACTTAAACAGGAGCCCAGCCAGCAAATATCCTTTTAATGAATGAAGAATATTAAAAATTATGTCTGGTTAAATTAGAAAAACTAATTTTAGCTGAGACCAGAGGCATAAAGCCAAGGAGAAGTTAAAAAAATAAAATAAAAATGAGGGAAATTACTTTGTACAGTTTCAGATTGATCAAATAAAAAAATGTTTAACACCTGCACACATTACCTTATTTTACCAAATAAGCTAAAGGGAAAGAAAATCCCCCAAGGCACTTTACAACTAACCAGCCATTCATCCATGCATACACACATTCACACGCTGGTGATGATGAGCTACAATGTAGCTACAGCTGCCCTGACAGAAGCAAGGCTGCCGTACACACCGGCCCTTCCAACCACCAGCAGCAGGTAAAGAGGGTGAGGTGCCTTGCTCAAGGACACAACGACTGCAACAGATGGGACGTAAATCTGCAACCTTCCTGTTAAAGGGCAATCACATAACTCGTCTGCCACTGTCGCTCCACAAAAATAAAAGAAAGTGGAACGTTCCTGTCCTGTAGAACCTTCATTTAATTTGTTTTTTTAGCTTTATGAAAGGTCTAAGAGTCAAAGGAATTCGCACAAAGTTATTATAAAGCACCTCCTTACAGAAGATAAAATCTCACCAAGCAGGTTTCCTGAGAAGTTAACGGGCAGAATGATGCCCACAGAGAGCACTCCCACTACAACCAGCAGGCCAATGATGTGGCGCTGAAAAGATAGGTAATATACTGCATCTTCACCACACTTCTCCCTTATCTCGTCATCCCTTCAGGGAGAAAAACATCAAAATTTAAATCAAACAAAAAATAAGTGATTAGGAAGCTCCTTTCCAACTTTGCTGCTAACTTACTTGATGCGAAAGACAGCGGTTAGCCAGGAGCAGAAGCCCTGAAGGAGAATAAAAAGTGTTCTGAACCGAGGCGCTGTATCACTTCATGAACAAAGACCATGTGGTTTACTTACGGTGTCTCTCTGGTCAATGTCCACTGAGCTTGACACTGAGGTGAGCCTTTCGTAGCGTTCAGGTGTCTCCGACGGCACAGTGGAGGCCATACTGTCAGCAAAAACATGCAGAAATCTCCATGTTACATAACAATTCCGAAAGACTACTCACTGTTAGGAGTCTTGGTTCACTTTGTCTCAGAACAGAGGATTTAACCTCAGTGTAGAAAAGTGACGGCACAAATTGTACAGAGACACATGGCCTGAAATGCACCAGAGATTCACTTGTGTTTTCACCATGTGGGTGGCTCACCAAAGGAACCTCCGTAGCCACATTCCACGCAGGGTTAAGAGAACTACAGGCTGGAATCACCACAGCTGTCCAGAGAAAGGTTAGAGCAGGAATCACAGGAGGACAAGAATTGACAGGAAAACTAAAGAGAAACCCAGTCAAAACCAACGTTTTTCCAACAGAGCCACGAGTTTGTTTAGATTTAGTTTTGATACATTTCATTCCACTTGATGGAGAGGTGGTTCAATTTATACAAAACTGACCAGAAGAGCAAGGTTCTGTTGGAAAATGTTCAGTTTCAACATGAACATGTGACATGATGTACAAGGAGCTCAGAGAGGAATGAGGAGAGACCCTGAGGCCGGAATCATCCGTCCTCCTCTCCCACATTCCTGACAGAAGGAGTAATAGTTTATCTCTGCTCTACTAAACCAGATATATGCTAGGTGCACCATGTAAGGGCCCGTCTAGGCACACCCACAGATCAGGGAAAAATTACCTTTACCTGCTTGTATCCTCTTTCTGTGGCTCATGCAGCACGGTGGAGAAGTTCATGCTTCATAAAGAGGTCAAACAGATTAGCACACACACATATCTGATTAGGACAATGAAAGAGGACAAGGACACCCAGCAGCAGAAGAACGGCCGACTAGAAGAAAGAGCAGTTAGCTTTGAACAGGAAACCTAGAAAGAAAATACAAAACCATCAAACAAGAGGCCGAAACCCACGCAGGCAAGAGCAGAAAGGACAAGCTGTGAGTTAGGTTGGTTAAAGAGAAGAAAAGGGTGGTGAAGTTACGACGTAGAGGGATAACGTACTATTCCCGTTCATCCAGACGACTGTATCGTTGATCCATCATTCTGCATGAAAATAAAAACAAAATAAAAAAGCAAAACAAAAAGATTTAGCCAGGAGAAAATGAGTGATACAAAGATAAATATCAGGGGGCCTGTTCCACCACAAGAATATCAAAGTAGCTTTCTGATTGGTCTGATGTTAATTGAACAGCTGTGACACATCTGTCATATGACTTCTACACAGTGTAGGGCAAGTTACTTAGAAAAAGTAATTAGTTACTAATTACTCTTTTAAAAAGTAACCAAGTTAGTAAATGAGATACAACCGTGTTTCCCTTACATAGGTGTAGCCGTGGCGGGCCGCCACGGCTGAAATCCCAGCGCCATGCCTGCAAGATCCCGTTTTATAGATTTTTTTTTTTTGCGCCGTTTCCCGAAGCAGCAGCAGGAACTACTCTGTTGTTGCTTGTGATCACAGCCGGCAGGCAGTAAGGAGGAGGAGGCAGGACAGGGTGGTTACAGCTAGGGATGAGCCGCGGATGAAGCATTTTTGACGAATACGAGCATGAAACGAGTAAAACTCGTAAATATCTGTAATCGTGCTGAAGAAAAATCCTCATTGGGTAACTGACTGCCTTCACGCTCTGTGATTGGCCAGTCACATGGAGTGCCCGCCCCTCCCTACACACAAAATTCTGATCCGCCCCACACACACACACACACGTACACACACACACACACGTACACACACACGTACACGTACACACATACACACACACGCACACGCACACACACACACGTACACACACACACACACACACACACACACACACACACACACACACACACACACACACACACACACACACACACACACACACACACACACAGTAACGGATCTCTCTGTGCTTGCTTCATGGTTTCTCACGTTTCTTCAGTACTCCCTAGGTTTTCTTCAGCTCGCCTCTTTTGGTTGAATATTTAAAGCTACTTTTTTTCGTAAAGTACGTGTTGCACTTGACAAGACAGAGCTGAAAACGGCTCGTGCATGCGTCAGTCACTGCCTCCGCTCCGGTTTGAAAAAAAATATTTTAACACCCATCATTACTTTTCATTTAAATTACAGTACAACATATGTGCGATCCAGGGCGTAAGGCAAAGAGGATTAGAAAATGGCGTTTTTAGCCCTGTTGACTTGCATTCAAGTTTTTCGTTCTTCCGGGGACCCAATAGTGCAGAAGTAGACTTGGGCTCACTATTGAATCCAATTCAAATGCGTTTATATAGCACATTTATAAACAGCATGACAGCTGACCAAAGTGCTGGACATCAAATACTACAATTAACATCAATTATGATAATACTAAAATATAAATGACTAAATAGACTAAAATGTGTGTCTAGATATTTATTATAAAAGTGAAATATTGAAATGGATAGGCAGTTAACAGCAGGAACCACAAACAGGAAAGATTCAACAGTAATCTAGTTAGCGGTCACTGTGTGATATGAAACATCCCTATTAAATGTATAAATACAAATAAAATTATTTCTACATCTTTAACAGAACATGTGATTGTCTCATGATAAAACTGCTCATAACTTAAGAACTTTGTTCCCAGACAAATAACATTTCACACCGACATTCTCACATTTTATTTCTTTAAAGGTATCATGCCATTTTAGACCTTTGGGAGCAAAGGTAGGCACAATATACGATTAAATATTATTGTTGGCACCACTGACATTAATCTTAAATATTAGTTGTTTTTTTTTTGTCATCTTGAATTTATACCCAGAACTGAAACTGTTGGTTTTAGCAAAGCTCCGCCCACTCCCGCGCCTACAACAGCATCTTAGGAGGGGCTGCTGTTGTATTGACTTTGGTAGTCCAGTGGTTTAAGCACCTGCCTTTCGTCTCATTTTGCCATGATCTGACGCGGGTTAGACTCCCGATGGTGTCAGTTGTCATTTATATAGCCAGCTAAAGCAGAATTCATTAATTTATATTTTAGTTTTATCGATTAACAAAACATGCAAAACATTGTGTGTCTTTAAACATCTTTGAATTTGGTCCTTTCCAAGCAGCATTTTAGTTGATTTACTCTGCTCACCTCACATGGACTCACTAGATAACCAAGAAAGTAAAAAGCTAGCTCCTGATCAGATGATGACAGCTTCAACACTCACAGCTACTGGATTATAGAAACACCAGAATTGCATTAGCAGCAGAAATGGCGTTATAACAACTGCGAAAGTAACGATTTGATCACACGTAACTGTCAGAACTGTTAGTAATGCTGTTATTATTAACGCTGTTATTCCCAACACTGCTTATACGTCAAGTCCAAACCTACATTTTGACTGTCCGGGTTTTGTTTGAAGGGTGACATTTTTTTTCCAGAGGTTGTGAGAAACAAAAGGACAACGCAGAGGCATAAAACTACACATCCGGTCTGTACAAAAATGTCCCTGACTGCCACCCCCTCCCATCCTCACACCACGCTACAGTCCCATTCTTCCCTCGCATGCAGCTGCAAAAATAGTGTAGCTGCTACGCAACACAGTCACAGCTGGAGCAGGTAATGGAGCAATGTGCAAGAATTTTCCAGGGTTCACAGTTAAGGAAGTCTGAGGTCTATCGGATCTATCGCTAACTTGAGAAGCCTTCCTGTTTTACCTCACTATTCCCTCTCACCTTACCCCAACACGTCTCATCAGTTAATTATAGAGAGCATCAGTTGGCGGGTCTTTAACCTGCATCGTGACATAATAAATTAGAATCTTTATTTTGATATTTCAGTCATTTGGGGCTATTCCATCTGTAACTGGACATCCAAGCATCAAACGACTAAACATATGTCAGAGTTCACAGTTGCTATTAAAAGAGAACGTGCTGACGCCACCTTCCTGTTACTGAACTTGGGTCTGCTTTAGTTAGAGAGAAAAAACAACCCTGATAACAAAAATACAGAAGGACAGTTAGCAAGTACCAAGTACTCTTTCCAGTTTGTTGCTGTACAATAGATTACTCTGTTAAGTAAATTTGATGTTTGATGTTAAAGTGCAAAGATGTTTAACGGGAAGTGATGTAAATGCACTTCAGGTCGGACTTTGTGAGCACAAATAGAAAAGTTTTTTGCACCAACTTAACATAGCTAGAAAAAAAGGAATCCCACATGGAAGTAAAATGAAAATCCGGCACCCTTTCACACATCTATTTTCAGAGACAAACAGCAAATGAGTCTAATTGCATTAATGTGTTGGAAAACCCCACAGAGACATTTGTCAGGAGAAAACACATCTTATCCACTGGTTTTACTGGTAAAAACAGCATTTGGATGTGGATTGAGTCAGCGTTTGTCTGGCTGAGGTCCAAGCTGCTAGCGTCTGTTACAACCATAGGTTCCAACAAAAAGGCCACACTCAAGCAGCAGTTTCTGTGTGTGCTTATTAACTCATTCACTGCCAAAGTCGTCATTCGCATTTTTTTTTTTACTGTTTGAGCATCGGAACAAGCCCCCGCGCTGAGAGAACAAACATCTCAGCCCTGAAGCCGATCTTCATCCGCATACGTCACACGATCAGGAAGCAGAACATCCATGTGTTAGGAGATCGTTTTGGGCCGTTCCTGTAAGAAAGGTGAGGCGCGAACCGGAAAAGCGTCTGCCGATCACAATTCAACAACACATTATGAAAGAACGGACAATGCTCGAAACACGCAGATTCTTCCTAATGTAAGAGGTGAGTCTCCTCTTTGTTTTGGTGTCGACATCATCCTAGCGCGCAACATTCTGCGACTCTTAAAAAAACAGTAAAAACGGTGAGAAACGCTGTCAGCGAAGGCCATTAGCGATCAGGAAACGGCTGGCAGTGAATGAGTTAAAAATGCATCTGAGTCATCATGGTTTGTTTCCTGTTACCTTTTGAGCCAAAATAGTCGTACTTATGGTTACATTTCAGTTTGTTTATGTAACCTGTCATATGAACCTAAACTTGAGTTTAATGCAGCAAAATAACTAGTAATAGTAGTTTATTTCAAACAAACAAAGAAAACATACCTAATTTAAAATAGCCATCCCTTTTTCTTCTTCTCTGCTTGAAAATGAGTAGGCTGAAGTCAAAACTTGTATGTCCCTATTCCTTTTATACATATCATCCTTTACCCTTACTCAATATTAATAAACCAAACTTTAACACCAAACCACATCAAAACAACAAATAGTACAGATCACCCAAACAACCAAACCATAAAGGAAAAAACTAAACAACAAAAAATAAAACATATTTTACAATTCATATGCAAACTTATTTTTCTTTAGAATAATGAACAAAATAAATCATCTATTTTCTTCTCTACTTATTTAGAATATGTTTTTTAGAATTGATTTTAAACAGGTTTATATTTTCACTTTAATTTCTTCTTCTAAGTTGTTCCATAATTTAACCCCTATTATTGTGATACACAGACTTTTTAAAGTTGTTCTAGCATTATGTATCTTTAAATTTAGTATCCCTCTCAAGTTATATCCTCCTCCTCTCTGTAAACAGTTTCTGTATTTTACCAGGTATTCATTTATTTCTCACCTTATATTTGTGCTGTTTTGTATTATTTTACCAAGTCCTGGAACTTCATTACCCGTGCTTTAATAAAAAGATCATTTGTGTGATCCCAATATCTTGCCTTTGTTATATCAACCCAATTGCTTTTTTCTGCACTGTCATTATTGTTTGTATAAGACTTTTGTACATATTTCCCCAGACTTCTGCACAGTAACTCAAACATGGCAGTAGCACCGTATTGTATAATATATAAAGTGCTTTCTGATTGAAAATATACTCCGTTTTCCCCATTATTGCAATTCCACGTGCAAGCTTCCTCCTAACACATTTGATGTGCGGCTTCCAACAGATCCTGCTTTGTACGATCACTCCAGGAAATGTTATTTCATTTACTCTTTCAATATTTACTTGACTACGACTACTTCATTGTCATTGACATTCATCTGTTTTCGTTTCCAAACAGCATAAATTTTGTTTCATCTACTTTTAGTAACTATTTATTTACATCAAACCATTAATTTATTTATTTCCTGTGTGACCACATCGAGGACCTGTTGCAATTCCACACCCGAACACAAAACATGTGTGTCATCTGCGAACAATGTAAACTTCAATACTTGTGAAACCCTACAAATGTCATTTATGTACATTATGAATAGTTTAGGCCCCAATACTGATCCTTGAGGTACCCCACATTGTATCTCTTTTAGTCCAGATTTATATTGAAATATTTGTACAAATTGTTACCTATTTGATAAATAACTTTTTATCCATTCCAGTACTACCCCCCTGAAACAATATTTTTCCATTTCCCTTATCAATGTCATGGTTAACTGTGTCGAATGCTTTCTTTAGATCTAAAACCAGCCCAAACTGAACAATTTAGTTAAAAGGACCTCTGGTGTGTTTGCTCATCTTTTGTGAATCCCAGACACCGACATACATAGCATTTCTAATTGTTTAAAAAATGTTAGTTTAATGTTATGTTTTAATGTTTTGTACTTTATTGTAAGAAAATGCGTAATCAGATGCAACCTTTGCTTGTTTTGTGTCAACTGTCAAACCTTCTAAACATCAGAAATGTATGACTGGTTTGTATGAAGCCTGTTTGTGAATCATGTTCTGTTTGATTCATGTAAATAGATCAACACAGTGTCAAAAAAATACTAATACTGTGTGTTGTGTTTCAGCACAAGTCACTATAAAAGTTGACAACTGTCTTTTACGTAATGCAGATTACAGGTAGAACTCTATTACTGAAAGCACTACAGAATAACACCTGCATGTCACCTGTCAGCGTCGGTCACCAGCGCGAGACGCCCATAGTCCCAGGCTCTTTTCCTCAAGAAAGAGAAAACAAACAGGAGCACCTACAAGAACAAAACAAACAGCATGTTAGTGCCTCAAATATGTCTTCGTTTACAATAAAGAGACCTTACAGCACTTTCATGGAAGTATTTTATCTCTAAGTTTGAATTATAATTAGAGTACACTGGACTGGAGTAAATTGTACATTTCCCTTTACGTCTTAATAACCATTGTTGGAAATTGGTATTTTATTTCAATTTAGAAAGCAGTTCCTCATCAATATACGTCTTTTTAAATTGTGTACAGATGTTTTGTGTGATAAACATCAGTGACAGAAATACTCACCAAAAAGCACATAAAGTCTAAAGCAAGTACAGTCGGCACCCCGCCGAAAGGCAGTCCTTGGAGCACAGTGCTGCGGATTCGAGCCGAGTAACAGAAATCCTTGGAGGAATTGGATGACTGTGTATTGCAGTTATCTGCATTAGTGCACCCTTGCACCTCCAAAACAGCCATTGTTAATATCAACACTCTGTACATCACTTATTCCAGCATGCTGACCACCTGTAAAGGAAAAAAAATACACATTTTTTTCCTGACTTAATAAAAAACAATTAAGAAAGGTTACATCATGCAAGACAATTAAAAGTAATCCGGGTTCCTCTCAGACTGGGACCATCAGTCACACACTGTTGTTGTATTTGACCAGAAGCTCAACAATGGAAATAACTTATGGCTGATTTTAAGCATTTTCTGTTCCTGTTCATAAGTTCTTCCATAAGACTTATAAATAAAACTTGACAAATAAAACTTGAGTTCAAGACTAATGTTGATTCTGAACTTGTTAACATACACATACTGGTTGTTTCTTATTCCATCATGCTAAAAAAAATAAAAAATAAACTAGAAATAACCAGCTCCTGTGTGTATGTGAGCAACACGGAAGCAAGTCAAACTTGTTAGCGAAGAGCCGACTTGTTTGGTCAAGCCTGGATGAGTATTTATTCCATTTTTAAAAACCTTCTTTCCATTAAGAATATTAAGCAGCCCTACACTCTTGCTGACTTCAGGGTAAACAGCACATGTTTGAGCTCTGGTGACAAAAAGTTAAAAAAAATAACCATTTTACCAAAACCAATCCACAAGATCACATTGAAAAGGCTGATTATGCCACAGAGACTGACCAAAGGAGCAGGGAAGTCACGTAGGTGTTCTGACAGCTGGTGTGAGCGTTTTTTGCAGTTGCACTGCTACTTTTGTGCCCTTCTACCCACAACTATCAGCTGTATCCACAATGCTGCTCATCTGCCCTAACACTAACTCATTTATCCACTCTCTGGAATGCTGTGATATCACTGCAGAGACGCAGCCAGCGCTGAACAATAAACTGATAGAGAGACCACAGGGTTCAAATGGACCGGTCTCAACCCGAGGAGCACCCTGTCCCTTCAGCAACACTAGACGGACGCATCAAGATCCTAACACTGGAAATCTAAGAAGATTTTTAGGTGAAGAAGAAAGCTGCACTGACTTTCATTTACTTGGAGGCAAAAAGACAAATGACTCCTAAATCTGACAAAAACCAACACTATTTGAAATAATTATGCAGTGTTACATTTACAGACAGAAAATGCACTGTAAATAATTGAAGCGTGCATAAAAAGCTAATAATTCAACAAAGTTGGAGTGAATGAGTCCATTTTTACTGTCACTTTTTCCTATTTTCAAAAATCTTCACATAATTAAAGATCTTCCAAAATAAACTCAAACCATATTCAAGGTAAAAGGCTGTTGCGTCAGTTAAAAAGATATTCTTGAGATGAGCCGAGGGTCACTGTCCTCTAGTAGCAGCCAAATATGTTGGGTTTCAGTTCCTTGAATAAATGACTGACATTTACCACTAAAACTGTTTCAGGTCAACACAACTACAGTAGTTTCTTTACAGTCCCACATCAGGAATCGTCCCTTTTCTCTTACTCACACGCACGTATGACGTTGAATGAACAAATCCTTAAAAAAATCATCATAAGCAAAGTATTTGTAGAAAACAGCACATGATGTGTCATGCTGTTTGGGTATCAAAACGCTTTTACTCATTATTACCATCAATATTAATGTGGTTGGCATCATTTAAATGGGGAAAATAGCTTTAAAAAAAGCATGAAAATCTAATATTCTTCAACTACAATTGAAGCAATTTTAAAATTTCTACCTAATAACACATTTATCATTAACTGTATCGTCTAATTAAAGAAGATAAAGCTACCACTTATCCGATATATTAATTGGCTTCTGTATAAACATTTTTGTTTTATTTTTCTATGAGAAAGCATCAGGAAAATATGCATTGATAAGGAGGCTCTAATTACATTTGTTCTTATAGTAAATCTCTGCTTCAAAGCATGTTATGATGAGTTGTATGTCTCTAGTAGCTCCTTTAGAATTTTAAGGCTTAGGATTAAGCTTGAGAAGACCACACCAACCAATCTTACTCTCTCACAATCAATCTTAAATAAAAAGAAAGTATGCAGCTCTGGTTAGAGATAGATGTTGTGATGCAAGATAAGCTTATCCAAGTGATGACTCGACAAAATAGTCTGAAGTATATTTGGTCTCTTATATAAAACTAAATACTACCAGTATGTTTCCAGTTCAAGTTTCTATAATAAATTAGCAATAAATTTATCAGCAACGTATAGAATGAATACACAGAAAGATGCCTAGCCTCTGTTTCCATGTTCCACTCAGTTTGTTTGTAATAAGAGTGTGAGTGTCTACATAAACATGACTATGTTAGTAAAATTAAGTTTAAAACATGAACACACACATCTGATATCAAATTGTACAAACTTTTCCCAAAAGTGTTAACTACCCTCCATAATATTTAAACACATTAGCAGCTATGAATGTTTTAATTATAACAAACCATCAGATACTATATAATCAGAATGTGAGTCTTTTTTCTCAAAAGTATTTGATCACTTTCTGTGTAAAAAAGCAACCAAGCAGCAATGTGTTAGTTTTTTTTTTGTAATATATTTATGAACATGAGACATGTTTATGTTTGAGTAGTACATTTTTATACGTATAATTTCTTAATATCAAACAGAACTGCGCTTCACTTGTGTTTTCTATCAATAATCCGTGTTTCTGTACACCAGGGATCATAAAAGGGCAACCAACTCATGTGCCAAGCTTTGAAGTCATCTGTGCACAATAAAGTCAGTAAATAACTTGCAGTGCACCATGTTTTCGTCAAGAAACTCCCTAAAATTCCCAAACAGCTGAAACGAGAGCGAAATTGTTCTTCCCTGCTGATGATCAAAACGATGTCAAAAACTCTTCCCAATCTTGACAACAAAATAAAACATACGTTTAAGATTTTCTGACGTTTTAAAGATCAAATAAATATTTTTACCGCTAATCAACTTAAATAATTTTGATAAGCTACCAAAATATAATTAGGTGTGAACAGAAAGCGATATTGTAGTTTGCTCTTAGCATCAATGATAATAAATAAAATACAATTAATTGAATAAAACTTCATCAATACAATTGGAGCTACTTTGAATTAAACAGTTCAATCAATAAAAGAACAAACTGTTCAAGCAACAATTGAATTAGTAGCAGGACCGAGCGCTTCAAGCTAATGGCAAAGGGTTGTTTACCCGTTTATTATTCTAAAGCCATCCAATAAGTTCACTCAGTCACGAAATAGCCGACAAGCTGTCGCTGCTGCTGAGGATACGAACTGTCAATGGGTAGCAATTATTCCATTATTGATAACAAAATAAACTTACCATAAGATACGCAGCAGAATCAGAAACTGTCACGTTTTGCTAAGTGCTAGCAGTCAGCTGTAACGGTGACGCTGCTAGCGTAGCTTCTCGATGTTGCAAATACCAGGTTCAAGCTACCTATCAACTAATGTAATTCCGACGACTTTCAATTAAAAGACGGAGGCAAATCCAGAAGAGGTAGTTAGTAAACTGTCTTAGTTAGTGATAGTAAACACAAGTAAGCCACCACGGCAGTCACCGACAGCCGGTTAAACAACTATCGCTAACCCAACCAGTCTAACTGCAGTTAAGTGAAAAGCTGGCCGTAGAAATAGATCAACTAGACAGTACACACACGATTATGCACAATAACACCTATAGGTTGTGCTATCTATACTGTTGTTTTCTGGATTCTGTCGCGCATCTTTTTTACGTAAAAACGGGCAAACAAGTTCTCACCATTAGTTTTTGTTTGTTTTATTTTCAATAGTTAACAGTTTACTTACACAAGTGGTAAATATTCAGTATGGCTTTATCTTTGAGGTTAATTGTGCGTTTATGTCGGTTGTGGGCCAGCTTGGCTCGTCGACGCAGTTAGTCGCATGCTGATGACGCGTTTGCTTTGACATTGGCTTGCAACCAATGCTTGCAACGTGAGAAGGGGTAACATTAGCAACTTCGATATTAAAAAACTTGGCACTGTAACGTACTGTAAATCTAATTGTACGTAGTTTTTTGCTCTCTGTTTATACGAAACAAAATTTCCTCTCATTTGTTATCTCTTGTCTGGCCATTCTGTGAGGTTAGTGGCACCATTATGATTTGCAAACGTTTTGGTTCAGTTAGCTGCTAACGATTTCTCTCTTCCTGTACCTATCGCAATCGCAGGATTTGCCGTAGTTATGGCTCTCTCTCGGATAACAAGAACTCTTCCAGGGCTCCTTGTTGAGACTTCGTCAATAGTCTTTCCAAGAAAGTTTAGGTAAGAATATGCTGTGCCTACAATTTCGTGATGTTAGCCAAATCAAAACTGCAGTAACGCATAAATTATGGAAGGAAAATACTTAGTTTTATTTTACAAACGAGTCACTAAATCAGTACTTATAATTTCTTCTTAAGAGATTTCCAATATCCAGAAAACATTTTCTGTAAACTTTTATTCAGGTTGGCAAACTTTACATAGAGCATCCCAGATTTAGCCTGTGTGGGAATATTCCCACCTCCCAACACATCAGGTCACATAAGATATGTTATTATCATTTGTGTAAATTTAAAAAGATTGTTTTTTTGTCAGTGTTTCTGCTGTAGCGGCTGCTATTCAAAAGATGACAAGAGTGCGTGTGGTGGACAACAGCTCCCTCGGAAATACACCATATCACCGTCCCCCTAGAGTGATCCATGTCTACACGAAGAATGGCATTGGAAAAGTTGGTGACAAAGTCTTGCTCGCCATCAAAGGACAGAAGAAGAAAGCACTCATCGTTGGACACAAAATGCCTGGTGATCGCATGACTCCACGCTTTGATTCGAACAACGTTGTTCTCATTGAGGACAATGGCAACCCTACAGGAACAAGGATTAAGGTCCCTATTCCCTCACATCTCCGTCAGATGGAGGGAGATTTTTCTAAAGTATTGGCTATAGCTAGTTCGTTTGTCTGACTGCATCATTCAAGAGATTTGTGATAATCACTTATTTTCTTCTGTGAAATTGATTAAATTTCTTGTATCCAATTTCCAGATGCATGTAGTCTTTGTCAGTGTGTAATATTTAGTGACGTTTCCTTATGCTTACAATAAACACAGCCCTTACTTTAGACACCAAATTATCTTCTCCACTGCAGCTAAAAGTGGGTCAGGTATACATCAAAGAATAACACAACCTTTCAGAGAAAATATTTATTGAAGGCACAACATACATTCACAAAACAAGACATCCTACAGGTACATATTTAAAACTGCTGGTAAGGCTTTTTATATGAAGATTAATTCGGTCTAATGCGTGTCCTGTAAGAATTTCAAGTTATGGGATGTTAAAACGAGGCAAATGCACAAGCATCTAAAGTTTTCAGTGCAAAATAAGGCAATAAAAGTCAATTCCTTCACTTCAACTAAAAATGTAATAATGAAAATATTCAAATCCGGTTTAAATTTAAAAAGTTAGGTTGGGTCTGTGTTGCCACCTTGTGGTGTGAGAAGGAAACTACAAACAGGTGATTATTTGTAATCTGTTAAAAGTAAAATTGTCATTAAATACACTATTAAATATTATGGATGTCAACATTAACTGATTTTTGTGATAAAATAAATTATGCTGATGACTATAATGCAAATATAAGAACTGCAGCTTGTGATTGATCATGCAGTCACATGCTTTTTACAACAGCGATGATAGACAGGTGTCAGTGATTTTTATTTCCTGCCCAGACACTTGGTTTGTTTCCTGCTAAACAGCTCTTGAGCTACTTTTAGTTGCATTGAGGTGGGGTTCATAAAGGGCAGGGACGTCTCTTGGAGCTGCAGGCACTACACTTGTATCTTCCTCCTTTACAGTCAGGCTTACTCAACCACACATGGTCAGGTAAAGCCACTGAGCAAATTGAGACTGCAGTTAGACAAAATAATTGTTAGAGAGAATATTGTCCACATAGTCACACACTTACCTCTGTGAGATTCATCTCAGCCACTCCTGATCCTTCTTTGTCAAACTGCTGGAAAGATCCTGCAAAATTCAAAATAACAGTTGTAATGTGTTGCTATAATAAAACCTGAGTATATGCAGTATATTTATAGATTACTCACTAAACATGGCTTCAAGCTTGACCAAGCAACAGATGAAGTTATCAAAGTCAATCATTTCATTGTCTGCATACCGGGCCACCAGAACCTCGTTCAGTTTATTATTCAGTTTGAAGCCTAAAACAGGATGAAAAAGTTAAAAGTGAGTTACTTGTTTTATGATGTCAGCTTGCTACAGCGTACCTGTTCCTTCCACAGCGAGCCGCATCTCATATGAGCTCATAGCTCCAGACTTATCCAGATCAAATTCTCTGAAAATGCCCTGAAAAATGCAGATGGGAAGGTTAGAAACAAAAGTACAGGACAGCTTTAAGTGTGTACTGTTGATTTCTTACCAACCACTTTCGAATCTTGTTCCAGAGAATCTGAAATTCCACCAGACCTAAACGTGCACTGCCATCTTTCTGAGAAACGGTGCGTCAAGGGTTCAAACTGCAGGCTTGAACGATCACAAAACTGCAAAATGCACTGATTTGCTAAAACAATCAGGTTTAATTTCAGGATACATCCATCAGGTTGACCATTGCCCTACATGATTCCACACTGAAGCCATCAGTCTTCAGATCTCTGTCTAAAACATTTAAAAAAAAAAAAAAAATTTTAGTTTGATAAATACTAAGCCTGAACATTAGTCCAGGAAGCCCCGTGCACACATTACAGAGGAATCTAACACGACGGAGTATTTGTCAGCATTATGCCACAAAGAGCAAACTCACGCCTGGAGATGACTCTGTTTAGGATGGTCCTGAGCTCATGAATAGAGATCTCCATGTCCTACATAAGCAGAGTGTTCAGAATAAAGTTATGGAAGCATGATTCATCATATTAACAGATCTACTCGTCAAAACTCACATCTCCTGCTAGTTGGGCAAACATAGACTTAAAAGAGTCATCAATGTCATCCTCGGTTATTTCCTCCTGTAGAGCAAAAGCAAAAAGACGACTTTTTAATCAGAAACGTAATAAAATCCCTAAATGTCCTCCAGTGTTGATGCAGACCTCATCTCCAAAATCAGCAGACACTTCATCATCCAGTTCTCTGCAATTCAAAAACATAAATACATTAGATTTAGCTTCTTATGCAACGGGCGTTTATTCAACAACCTGCTGAGGGAGACGTACTCCGTCTCCGACTGCTTTTCAGTGAAAACCCTCAGCACAAAGTCCGCCTCTTTGCTCGGCTCGAAGGTGGAGGGCACGATCAGGTACTCCCCGGGGGGCAGCCGCAGCCGCGTGCTCACCTCACGCAGGTTGATGAAGGTCTCTGAGCGAGCGCACGACGAATGGCTCAAAAAGAAATTCTTCTTCAAATGCACGTTCTGGCAGCCTCTGTACTGATGGAAGCAGGAAAACATGCATGAATTTATACATTTTTACAAGTTTCTGAGCTGAACTCACATTTTGGCTATCAACTCGTGCACTGCCTACCTCTTCTGGGATCTGTTAAGAATGGTGGAGAAGTAGAAAAGATTGTAAACAACATATTAGACTGAGAAAGGGATGATTCAGGTTTTATTGGCTCTGCTCTCACCTCATAGAGAGCAAAGCCGATGGTGTGCATGTCCTGACCGTGGCGCCGGTATTTGCGGCGGTCCTTCTGCATGAGGGCTACTAGAAAACTGCATGCCACCTCGTCATCATCTGGATCGTCATCCTCCTCCAGCAGCGTGATCTTATACTGAGGGTTTATCCAAAACGTGTCTACAGAAATATGAGGTTTGCTTTAGTGAGTGTGTACACTTGAATGGCTGTTATGATTTGCACTCACTGGGGTGGTTCCTGCAACCGCCGGCGGTGCTGCCTCTCCTCCAGGTCCCGTAGAACTTGATGGTGTTCCAGTGGTTGAGAGAGTCGTCACTCAGAGCGTCTGGAGTCAAGTTACAAATTTCCAGACGAGAAAACTGCCTCAAGAAATCACTGAAGGACATCCTGGACGAGGAAGCAAAATTTGACAGTGATCAATGAGGAGAGCTCTTTTTTGTTTTAAATCTTCAAAAAGTAATTCAGAGGGTTTTTAGTTTTCTTCCAAGAAAAAACAAAAGGAATAATAGTTTAAAACAATTGTTGTTGTAGTAGAAATCTTATTTTTCTGGCCTTTCCTGTAGAGCTGAGCTTCTAAAATTCAGTATGAAAATGTTTTTTCTTAGTTTTAATATTTGTAGTTTTATTTAAAAAAGCATAACTCTAAAATTTTGGCTAAAATACACAAACGACGACAGTCTTTATTACCATTAGACCTTTTGCCGTACATTTCTAATTCCCCCTTTCCCTTTCTCACCAAAACTCTCCGTCTTCCATGTTAAGATGCAAGTCTTCTCTCTCTGATGGATCGAGCTCATCCCATTCTGATGAACTATAAATGATAAAATGTTAATAAAAACATTACAAGTCGATAAGACAAACTTGAAATAAACACCTGGAACACTCACCTGTCACTCCAGGCACCGGTCCACTCCACCTGGCCCCAAGGGTTACGTATTCGGATAAGACGTACCATGCTGCCACGGTAATCAACCTACGTGACAGCATAGGGAGGGGAAACCTTAAAGGTGGGGTAGGAAATGTTTTGCTAGAGCATTTTTGCCATATTGCTTGAAATGCTCTTCACGTACCGACGGCAACCAATGAATTAAATATTTTGTCAAAAATAATTTTGATAGACTGAAACGTACAATCCTGGAAAAACCTCATCCAATCATTATGAATGCACCCGTTCTTAATGACTGGATCCTGATTCATCATCAAGCCAACTCTGAACACCCCCCTTTGTACATACCCCTCTATGTGCACGAATTCATGGATTTCGACTTGGAGCAGCTGATTAGGAAGCAAAGCCAGGATAGCTTGTGACAGAAGGAATGTTCCGTTCTGTTGTAGTTTACAAATTTAATTTAAAGAGTTTTATTTTATTTTTTTCTGTTTAGAATATGGTTCAATTTATGTTGGAAACATTTAAGTGATGGACCTGTTGTTTGTGAACGCAGCCGGTTCTCTGTCAGCTGGCAGAGGAGCGTTTGTCATTTTATTGCCTTGGCAGCATGTTTGTGTGTGTGTGTGTGTGTATGAATGTGTGTTTTGACCTGTTGTTCGTGGGTTTTTAACCAGTCAGTGGATCAGAGCTGCTGTGATTTTGAAGTCAGGAATAAACCAAGAAAGCTAAAAATGGCCTTGTTTTTAACAATTAAAGGGAGAGTAGGCCATTTTGGTTTGCTTTATGCACGCCCTGTTTAGCAGAAACAAAAGCAAAATATATCTTCTTGCTGTGTGTTTGTCTTTTAAACACCTTAATCTAACAGCTGAAATGTTTTGCATGCCTTCATCAGTGTCTAAGGGAGTAATTCATCACTAACTCAAACAAATCAGCTGTTTTCATGAGCTAAAACATGCAGGAAATGTGCTGGAACAAGACTGCAGTGCCAGGTATGTCAGCTCAATATTTTTCTAAGTTCAACAGACCGGCTACAGGGGGTGATAGGGGCAGAGTTGCCTTTTATTAAACCTGTAAAGTGTCGTTTTGGCACATACAGGCTCAAGAAAATTACTTTATAATATGGAAAATGTTGCCAAGTGTCTCTTTTGTATGGGTGTCTTACAATGATATGTAAGACACAATAATAATAAATCTATTCATTCATTAAAACACCCCACTATGTTAGCTAGCATTCTAAATTGCTGTACGGTGAGGTAGGTGTGTTACATTAGAAACCATAGCAGAAAAGGTGCCAACAACAGATAGAAAATATTACAATTAGCCCTCAGGAACAATGATTGCTTTTTCCTGTATTCTGCAGGTGCGGCTCGGAGGGAAGCCTGAAAAAAGGAGGTTGGACCTCTAAATTGTTTACATTTTAAAATAAGTTTGCTTGAAAGCCAAGATAACCATTTTCTATTCCACCTATAAATGACAGTGTTCATGCTTATTGATGACAGTGATGCAGGGGCAGACCTCTTTGAGTCCGGTGATGGAGTAGGCGTGGCCCTTCACCAGCTTCTTGAATGTCACAGCCTCCATGTCAAAAGCACTGGTGATCTGCATGAGTTTAAAGTTGATACCATCCTGTGGGAAATTTATAACAAACAATGTGGTCCTCAAGTGCATTTTGTTTTCCAGCTCTTACATCAATAGAGCATCCCAGTAGGGAGCCTCTTTCCAAAGCCTTGCTGATTATCCTGTAGAGGTCTCGAGGAGCCTTACAGAGCTCGTACATCTCGGACACGCCCCCTGTGAAGTCCTCAAACCCTTCAGTGGTGCTTCCCCCAGACAACGCCTCATAGGAGCCATTTAACCTAATGGCATGCAAAAAATGTACTTGAAACCAATTACACATTCAAGAAGCACTTTGGGGTATCCCACAAAATAAACTCAAGATTAAAGATGCAGCAGCTGAGGCTTCTGAAACCTACTTGGCGTAGGCCTTCTCCAACAGAGCACTCCAGAATTCATTGCCCTCAGCGGAATGAACAAACATGAGCTCCCCATCTTTGACAGGCAATCGATCATCAATCACGACATCCGTCCATTCGCCAAACTGCCAGAACTGCAATGCACAGCAGTAGAGGAAAAAAAAAACCACTTAGCTAAATTGCTGGAAAGAAAATAATTGATGAAATTTTAAGGAAAGGAACCTGAAAGTGGAAGACTCCAGCGTAATCGTCTTGGAATGACTGGCCATGCGGAACAACTCGATGAAGGAGCTTCTCATTTAGAGTCAGAGAGGCGATGGCGGCCAGCAGCCAGCAGTCCCCTGCGGGTGAGACGACAAACTCAGGAACCCCCATCCAAATTTATTATTGGTGCCGATTTAAACAAGAATTTTTACAATAAAAACTCACCAAGAGCTCCCTGACAGATATCTGTTCTGGTGGCACCACCCACAATAAACTGAGGATCACTCGTCAGTTCCTAATAAAACAGAAGTTATATCTTCGTTATGAGGATTTAATTTACGAATCAGAATACCAGCGAGGAGAAAATGGCTATTTTCTGCCTTCACACACATTCCCTATGTGCCATCTTCCTGTGTTTTAATTAGACACAGTAAACAAATGTCCTGATGAGGGGAGTGGTCTGGGAATGCCATCCAACAGCTGCAGTGGTCTGCAAAGTTCCTGTCCCTGCTTGTCCCTGCTGTCTGATTTAGCAGGAATGCATCAAGACAGTGTCACTGATACGCCTGTTTACATAAACATTTTCAGAACAACAACAAAAATTCCTGAGTTTTCTCACTGTTGGTCTCATCCACTCCACATCTCTGGTTTTGGAAGAGTAGGGTGCAAGCTCCTTGAAGCCCAGAGATGGAGGCTCAGCTGGGAAGCAAGGGTCCTCAAACAGGCAGCCCGACTCCACACACTGCTGCTTCAGCGCCTCGTAGTCCTGGCCAGCAAACTGCACGGCCTGCTCGTTGGAGCCCATGCCCTCTGCCCGGAGCCTGTCAGCGTATATGCTCGCACAGATCCCTCCGGCTGAATACATACTGGAGCAAGACAAAAATACAGAGCTGGTGAGAGGGTGTGCACACACTGAGCCGTTTATAAATAGCAGCAAGCTAATCAGCAGCACAGGCCTGTCTGGAAGTTACAGCACTTAGCGGTGTAAAAGAAATAAAAATAAAAAATAAATGATTTGCTTTGAGCTAAAGGGAAACCCTAGCCTAGAAACCTAGGTAGACCGTATCAGTAGCAAAGAGATTTTGCTCTGCAGGTCTATATGCAGGATGGATATATAGGATGGCTTTCCAGGCTAGGAAACCCCACTTTAGAGAAGTTTTCTGCAATGCTGATGTCAGCCTGAGAGATGCACAAATCCAAAGCTGTAGCCTGTGAGCTAACCTGGTTTAATCAAACTAAACCATTTCAGAGCTTAAGAGGTCACTACTCAAGCTTTTTTTAGACATGCTGTATTTAAATCTTCGTCTTCGTCTTCCTCCGCTTATCCGGGTCCGGGTCGCGGGGGCAGCATCCCAATTAGGGAGCTCCAGGCCGTCCTCTCCCCGGCCTTCTCCACCAGCTCCTCCGGCAGGACCCCAAGGCGTTCCCGGACCAGATTGGAGATGTAACCTCTCCAACGTGTCCTGGGTCGACCCGGGGGCCTTCTGCCGGCAGGACATGGCCGAAACACCTCCCCGGGGAGGCGTCCAGGAGGCATCCTGACCAGATGCCCAAACCACCTCAACTGGCTCCTTTCGATCCGGAGGAGCAGCGGTTCTACTCCGAGTCCCTCCCGAATGTCCGAGCTCCTCACCCTATCTCTAAGGCTGAGCCCGGCCACCCTACGGAGGAAACTCATTTCGGCCGCTTGTATCCGCGATCTCGTTCTTTCGGTCATTACCCAAAGCTCATGACCATAGGTGAGGATTGGGACGTAGATCGACCGGTAAATCGAGAGCCTGGCTTTCTGGCTCAGCTCCCTCTTCACCACGACAGATCTGCTCAGCGTCCGCATCACTGCAGACGCCGAACCAATCCGCCTGTCGATCTCCCGATCCCTCCTACCCTCACTTGTGAACTAGACCCCGAGATACTTAAACTCCTCCACTTGAGGTAGGACCTCTCCCCCGACCCGGAGGTGGCAAGCCACCCTTTTCCGGTCGAAAACCATGGTCTCAGATTTGGAGGTGCTGATCCTCATCCCAGCCGCTTCACATTCGGCCGCGAACCTACCCAGCAAGAGCTGAAGGTCAGAGCTGGATGAAGCTAGGAGGACCACATCATCCGCAAAAAGCAGAGACGAGATTCTCCTGCCACCAAACTCGACACACTCCACACCACGGCTGCGTCTAGAAATTCTGTCCATAAAAGTGATGAACAGAACCGGTGACAAAGGGCAGCCCTGGCGGAGTCCAACCCTCACTGGGAACAGGTCCGACTTACTACCGGCTATGCGGACCAAACTCACGCTCCTCTGGTAAAGGGACTGAATGGCCCTTAACAGAAGGCCACCCACCCCATACTCCTGGAGCGTCCCCCACAGGGTGCCCCTGGGGACACGGTCATAAGCCTTCTCCAAATCCACAAAGCACATGTGGATTGGTTGGGCAAACTCCCATGCCCCCTCCATCACCCTTGCAAGGGTATAGAGCTGGTCCACAGTTCCACGGCCAGGACGAAAACCACATTGCTCCTCCTCTATCTGAGATTCAACTATCGATCGGACCCTCCTCTCCAGTACCTTGGAGTAGACCTTTCCAGGGAGGCTGAGGAGTGTGATCCCCCTATAGTTGGAACACACCCTCAGGTCACCCTTCTTAAAGATGGGGACTACCACCCCGGTCTGCCACTCCCTAGGAACTGCCCCCGATGACCACGCAATGTTGTAGAGACGTGTCAACCATGACAGCCCTACAACATCCATAGCCTTGAGATACCCAGGACGAACCTCATCCGCCCCCGGGGGTCCGCCGCTGTGTAGTTGTTTGACTACCTCAGCAACTTCTGCCCCCGAGATCGGACAGTCCATCCCCAGGCCTCCCAGCTCTGGTTCCTCCTCAGAATGCGCGTAGGTGGGATTGAGGAGCTCCTCAAAGTATTCCTTCCACCGTCCGACTATAGCCTCAGTTGACGTCAGCAGCTCCCCATCCCCACTGTAAACAGTGTGAGCGAGTTGCTGCCTTCCTCTCCTGAGGCGCCGGACAGTTTGCCAGAACCTCTTTGGAGCCGATCGATAGTCTTTCTCCATGGCCTCACCAAACTCCTCCCACGCCCGAGATTTTGCCTCGGCAACTGCCACTGCTGCACCCCGCTTGGCTATCCGGTACCTGTCTGCTGCCTCCGGAGACCCACAGACCAGCCACGCCCTGTAGGCCTCCTTCTTCAGCCTGACGGCTCCCCGAACCTCTGGTGTCCACCAGCGGGTACGGGGGTTGCCACCACGACTGGCACCGGCCACCTTACGACCACAGCTAGCAACAGCCGCCTCGACAATCGCAGAGTGGAACAAGGCCCACTCGGACTCAATGTCCCCCACTGCTCTCGGGACGTGGTCAAAGCTCTGCCGGAGGTGGGAGTTGAAGACCGTCTTGACAGGTTCTTCTGCCAGGCGTTCCCAGCAGACCCTCGCTATGCGTTTGGGTCTGCCAGGTCTACGCAGCATCTTCCCCTGCCATCTGATCCAACTCACCACCAGGTGGTGATCAGTTGACAGCTCCGCCCCTCTCTTCACTCGGGTGTCCAAAACATACGGCCGCAGGTCAGATGATACAACTACAAAATCTATCATCGACCTGTGACCTAGGCTGCCCTGGTACCAAGTGTACCGGTGGGCATCCTTATGTTCGAACATGGTGTTCGTTATGGCCAAACTGCGGCTTGCACAGAAGTCCAATAACAAAACACCGCTCGAGTTCAGATTAGGTGGGCCGTTCCTCCCAATAACACCCCTCCAGGTCAAGCTGTCATTGCGTGTATTTAAATCTGCTCATTTTAAATCAAGTGAGGAAAAAGCTCAATAATAAATAAAATAGCATTATAGCGAGAGAAAAAAAACACCAGTTATGACCTGCTGATGGGAAAAAAAATCCCTAAATAAAAACATTGAATCCCATAGATTTAAAGTGTTTGTTATTTGTAGAGTAAATGTGTTCAAGGTCTCCAAGTCCAGGCTGCTGCTTTTGGTTAAAATAATAAATCACATTTTTGCAAATAACACATTTAAAACTTAACTAAATGGTAGCAGTGTATCAAAGTAAACATAATATGGAGAAGCAGGTGAATAATTTAAACATAGGAAGGAAGCGTGGGTGAAAATAATCTCAACCTTAAACAGAGCAAACTGAGAAATAACGAAGCAAGTTGAAAGTATGGTACCTGTTCTATGAGTGTAGGCTGTGAAACAAAACAAGAAGAAAGCACAATCATCAAGGATTTTGGTCCTGGGAATGATACAGCACTTTGTTTTCCACTTTCTCTAAAAACACAATTTCCACAGGAGGAATGCTAAAGAGCCGAAGCTGAAAGGAAGCTTGGATAGAGCTCCGAGCACACTAGTGAAAGGTTTGGTGAAAACAAGGACATTGTTTAAAGAGGACAGTGGCCCCATCATGAGGCCCCACATGCCTGCAGAGTCAGCTGTCCAAATGACTAAATACACAAGAAAGAGGGGTTGCGGCAGGTTTCAGATCAGATGCAGGTCTGCATGCCCGCCCCGTGAGCAGAAAGAGCTGATCCATGCCGTTTCTGTGATGGTGATGATGATGATCATAAAGATTAAGAATGGCAGGACTTTAACCTTTAAACTACGTCCTGCAATCAGCAAACAAACAAATGTTTTTCTTCGTCAGATCACAACCCTGAAGAGTAAAGCTGCACATTTGTTTACAACTATTATTCCATGCTGGGTATCAACAATCACATTGTGAAGTGGCACGAGCTGCTGTTTGGCAGCACCTGTTCAAAACAAGCGGGCCTGCCTTCAACTAGCTAACCACTGCGGTTAAAGATTTACAAACAAAGAAAAAATTACATTACTTTACTAAAAGTAATCAAACAGCTGAGTTTAAACTACGCGTTTTGTATTATTGTTTTCTCCAAACTGACTATTATTATTATTATTACCAGGGCTAGAGTCGTGCAGCAGAAACAAACAGCACGCGCTGGTGTGCGACACCGGGGACCGTTAGTCTCGTGCAGTGAAAACAGACGTTTTTGTTTAAATGAAACTAATAAAATCACGAAACTCACCACCGCTTAGAAGTCAACGGAAACCTTTTAAGGAGGGGTCAAAAAGAACAGGAAAGTGGAGATTCAATATGAATCTGTGACGGCCGCGCGCACACACACAAACGCACACGCGCTGGAGAAGGGATCCCCCCACCCCACCGGAAAAAGGCGTGGCTACAATGAAGAGGCAGTACCACTTACAACCACTAGAGGCGCTCAGGAGCTGTAGCAAACATGAAAACAACTACAAAACATCAAAAGCCTGATATGTTTGAAAACATGAATGATTTATAGATTAGATGAATATATCATTAAGAAAAGCTCTCGGGGGAGATGTAATGTCCTCCATTAGCACACCTGCTAAACAGAAATCTCTAACCTGAATAAATTAGGGATCATAAAGAACTCCCAGTCCAGTGATTGCAATGGTTTACAACAAGAAAAGGCCAGGCACAGGAAGGTTAATTTAAAAAATTGTTAGACAAACTCAGATAGAAGGAAATCAATGCTTGATATAGGCAAAAATACCTGTAGTCATAAACAGTTTTGTCACTATGGAATTTAAACATGAATTTCTATTAATTTTCTCAGTTTATAAACTCTATATATATATATATATATATATATATATATATATATATATATATATATATATATATATATATATATATATATATATATGTATGTATCCTTTATGTATATATATATGTATATATATACATATATATATGTATATGTATATACATATATATATATATGGAATTATATTATATATATATATATATATATATATATATGGAATTATTATTATTATTATTATTATTACTGTTATTCAGGCTTATTGCAGAAAACAATAAAATTCTATAAGATGATAATAGTTGTATTTAGTCTCTAAAAGTCCATTTAAGTTTGGTATAAACATTTCCCAATATACTGTAAAAGCAAGGAAGGTCTCTTAAAGTTAATAAATAAATAAACTGCTAACTTTTCCCATTAGTTACATTAAAGTTCTTTTTCTGTCCTTTAAATTTCATGGTTTTTGTTTTTGTTGTTTTTATTATTATTTTGTAGGACCTGTTTTGCCATTTGTCATAAATTGATCCCATGTCAGACTGTAAATCCAGTACATTTCATTGATCCCTCTGTGATGTAGCCTGGCAAGCCAGACTAAATTAAGCAAGAATTTGGTCTAGTTCACTAGACTGTCTGTGATGAGGATCCTTGGCACATTTGTTTTACAACCAGTTTTTGTCTGAGCCATGCCTGTTCCTGTTTGTTTAGCCATAGATTCCTGGGAGTTGTCTTTGAAGAACTTCGCAGCACATAAATCTTTGTTGTGTGTTTCAGGTAAACAAAAAGGTTTTTCTCTCTAGTTGCCTTCTGAGAATTTGCCACACTCCCTAACCGATATTCAGCTGTTTAAACAGAAAAAAAATCTATTTTAACTTCATCAGTGAGCTGTGGACCTTTTTATTACGGGTTTTTAGTCAAACATTGAATTAAAACTTACTAATGGGTGATTGTGATGTTTGATTTTTTAACTCTTTTGGGGATTTACCTAAACATGATATTTTCAAGCCCAATTTCCTGACTGATTTGCTTATTTAAAGTAATAATCTAAAGTCACTAATCAGGTTTCAGTTTGTTGTTTTTCATGCTGACAGGAAACAATCACATCACACATTTAATGTAATTACTGAATGCACTCACATACAAGCTTATAGGACTCTAAATTAGCTTTTAATTACAAAAACCCATGCTGTTTAGCTGAAGAAAACATCCGTTTGTGGGTGAAAGGTCATTTTCTCATCATCCTTTCCCATATTTTTTAAAGATTTAACTATTATATTGCAGATTTAATCAAAATTAAGCTTTTTGGAGTTTGTTAAAAACTTGCTATTAAAAATACATAAAAAGAATATGAACAGTTTTTTTAAAGAAAATCATTGTCTTATTACCCAACTCAGCATTCCCATTAATCCATCTCAGTTAAAAGGTGGACAACTTGTTGCAAAACCTTGTAATTAATATTTAGTTGATGCAATTTGTGATTTAAAATTGTCCTAATTTTCTTGAATCACAGCTGAAAAAGAGAGCATAGTGCTCCCGCTTCAATGCTCAGTTCTGATCAGAAACCTGATAATTTAGCTAAATAAAATAACTGAATAGTTGTTTCAGGGGACTTCTGTTGGGTTACAGTTTGTTTAAGGTGTTATTTTAATTTGGAGGATGTGAGCTCAGAATCAGGATCTAACCAGATGGGTGGGTCCATGCATGCCCCAGGTTCTGAATTACAACACACAGAATTTCTAATTGTTTGGGCTCAGTGGAACAGTTGCTTCAGTATTTGTGCTCAGACATCCTTTTCACAACTCTCAGCTTATAGCCCATCCAACTTTGATGCAGAAACAACACATTTTTCATTTTGGCATTCACTTTTGGTGGTTGTATAAGGTTTTTTATGATATGAGAACACCAACAAGTCAAAAAAACTGTTTGAACTTGAAGATAAGTCACCTGTTTCATCAAAATATGACAAAAAAAATTAGATTGCAAGAAGTGTTTCTGCTGTCGCTGGCTTTAGGTGTGCCCTTGTTTTTGTTGAAGTTGTGGTCACAGTGAGCTCAGCGTGGATTTACATACGTGCTGCTGATGTCTGCTCAGTCAGCCTCATCTGCTCACCTGAAGCTCCTCCTTTACCTGTTATCTGATCCATCACCAGAGGTGCTCATAAGAGCTCTGGGATAAAGCCGCTTCTGGGTAGTGTTCCTTTTAAAATCCACCTGCACCTGCTGTTGACGAGGGAAAATCCTGAGAGTCCACACACAGAGAGGTGACGATGACATCCTTAGCAGGCCGAGTTGCCCGTCAGCAGGACAGAGCACTTGGCATCGGCACCAACGAGAACGCGGCGAAGTTTGGTGGTCAGGATTATGAATCTTTACGGCAGCAGTGTCTGAGCAGCGGACGACTGTTTGTGGATAACAACTTTCCAGCTGAGAGCAAGTCACTAGGCTACAATGAGCTAGGGCCATACTCATCAAAGACCAGGGGCATTGTGTGGAAGAGGCCAACGGTAAGAAGGAACTAAAAAGAAAATAATATCTTAGTTTATTCAACTCTTATAATACTTTTAGTCTCAACCATTTTTCACAAGAAACATTATAATAAATCTGTTGCTCCTTATTTAGGAGTTGTGTGCCAAACCAGTGTTCATTGATAATGGAGCCACCAGAACCGATATTTGCCAAGGAAGCTTAGGTAGGAAAACAATGGATTAAGGAAGTGGTTATTTTTATGTGATGTTGGAAATCACGAGATGCAAACGTTGCCTTTCTATTGGCATGTGAGGAAGAGCTTTTTATGCATAACTGAGGAACAAACCATGTATACGTTTATTATTTTCTGCCTTTGAAATGTGCAGGTGACTGCTGGCTTCTGGCAGCCATAGCTTCTCTGACTCTGGACCAGGATATCCTGGCGCGGGTGGTGCCACCCGAGCAGAGTTTCACTGAAGATTATGCTGGAATATTCCACTTTCAGGTCTGATGAAGCTTTTATAATCTAAACTCTAAAACCACTACTTTTACATTCCATGCAGAGCAAACACACTGCTGTTGTTTTAGTGTAAGATTACACACTTTCCCTTTAAGGGCATCTTTTGTCCAGGGATCACGCTTATGGCCTCTTGGTGTAGTTTCTGGTTGGTTGACTATCCTGTTTCCACTCAGTTCTGGCAGTACGGCACATGGGTGGATGTGGTGATTGACGACCGTTTACCCACCAAAGACGGAAAGCTTCTGTTTGTTCACTCAGCGGAGGGCTCAGAGTTCTGGAGCGCCCTGCTGGAGAAGGCTTACGCTAAGTATGAATTCCTCCACTTTTAATATTTAACCCAAACTTTTCATGCATTGCAAACGTTACAATCCCCTCTGCATCTGATAGGGTGAACGGCTGCTACGAGGCCCTGTCTGGAGGAAACACCATAGAGGGTTTTGAGGATTTCACAGGAGGAATTGCGGAGATTTATGAACTGAGTAAAGCTCCTCCTCAGCTCTTCCAAATCATCAAGAAGGCCCTGAGCCTGGGCTCCCTGTTGGGATGCTCTATTGACGTAAGGTTCAGCTCATGGTTGAGCTTCATGATTAACCCAAATGCTGAATTTAACATGTTTGAATGACCAGTTTGTGCTGCTTTTAGATCACAAGTGCCTATGAGACAGAGGCAGTTACAGCTCTGAAGCTTGTAAAAGGACATGCCTACTCTGTAACTGGAGCAGAAGAGGTATGTGACTCGTCTAAAGTCTCAAAACCACGTATTAAATTATTATCACACTCATCTGCAGTCTGCTCTGCACTTAACTTCTGTTTTTATTTTCCAGGTTAATTATCGAGGTAGGGCGGTTCAGCTGGTCCGCATCAGAAACCCATGGGGACAGGTGGAGTGGACGGGGCCTTGGAGTGATGGGTACATTTATTCATCTTTAATGTCACAAACACAGAAATCATAATTTCTCATGTCTTATTTATCCATTTATCCGGAACAGATCCAGAGAATGGGATTACGTCAGCTCAGATGAGAAATTAAAGTTGAACAATGTGGCTGAGGATGGAGAGTTCTGGTATGGAAACAATTATTTTATGGGTAATATTTTAAACTTACATTTGGAGAACTTCATATTTAATTTGAGTGGTGTGTTTTGGATTTATTTGTCAAGTTTTGCATGCACTAACAAATTGATTCATGTATTCTAACAAGTAATGAGAATAATGTAATGTTTGATGAAGGTGTTTACCCAAAATGTGCTGAGAAATGCAGCAGCAAGCAGACATGACCCAGTGGTTTAATAAGGTAAACACTGTGGATTGAGCAATTCAATTGGCAAAGGGGGCTGACAGAACAGACACAGGATTTGGAAGCGTACTGGAAAACTGGGAACTCTATAGTCTACACAGCAGAGGAGGATTATTGAGTGAGTTCAGGTGAAACCCATGGAACAGAGTCAAACTGACTGAAAACCAGTGGCATGCCCAAGGGGTGGCCAGAGGAGCCACGGCCACCCCAGCTGGAAAATTATTGGCTACCCTAGTGCCCCACCGCCATGCAGATAAATAAATAACTATATATAACTATATATACATAAAACTCTATGTATATAACTGTGTGTGCGTGTGTGTATATGGTCACCCATGACAAACAGGTCCTAGGAGAGAGACCAAACAAAGAGTAACCCGAGGACCTCTTATGATGAATTGTATAAATGGAAACCATGTTCCCTCGCCCGGACGTGGGTCACCAGGGCCCCCCTCTGGAGCCAGGCCTGGAGGTGGGGCACATTGGCGAGCGCCTGGTGGCCGGGCTTTCACCCATGGAGCCCGGCCAGGCACAGCCCGAAGAGGAAACGTGGGTCCCCCTTCCCATGGGGGAGCTGTCAACTGACCACTACCTGGTGGTGAGTTGGCTCAGATGGTGGGGGAGGATGTCAGTCAGACCAGGCAGGCCCAAACGTATTGCGAGGGTCTGCTGGGAACGTCTGGCAGTCTCCTGTCAGAAGGAGCTTCAATTCCCACCTCCGACAGAACTTCCAAAATGTTCCGGGGGACATTGAGTCTGAAGGGACCCTGTTCCATGCCTCCATTGTTGAGGCGGCCGACCGGTGCTGTAGTCGCAGGATTGTCGTTGCCTGTCGTGGTGGCAACCCCCGAACCCGCTGGTGGACACTGGCGGTTAGGGATGCTGTCAGGCTGAAGAAAGAGTCCTATCAGGTCTTTTTGGCCTGTGGGACTCCAGAGGCAGGTGACGGGTACCGGCAGTCCAAACGGAACGGGACGGTGCGCTGCTGACCTCTACTCAGGATGTTGTGGATCGGTGGGCAAAATACTTCGAAAACCTCCTCAATCCCATCGACACGTCTTCCAGTGAGGAAGCAGAGTCTGGGGACTTTGAGCTGGCCTCTCAAATCTCTGGTGCTGAGGTCACTGAGGTGGTTAAAAAGCTCCTCTGTGGCAAGGCTCCAGGGGTGGATGAGATCTGCCCGGAGTTCCTTAAGACTCTGGATGTTGTGGGGCTGTGTTGGCTGACGCGGCTCTGCAATATCGCGTGGACATCGGGGGCAGTCCCACTGGACTGGCAGGCCGGGGTGGTGGTTCCCTTATTTAAAAAGGGGGACCGCAGGTTGTGTTCCAACTGCAGGGGATCATACTCCCGAGCCTTCCTGGTAAGGTCTATTCAGGGGTTCTGGAAAGGAGGGTCCGTCGGATTGTTGAATCTCAGATTCAGGAGGAGCAATGTGGTTTTTGTCCTGACCGTGGAACACTGGACCAGCTCTATACCCTTAGGGGGATCCTGAAGGGTGCGTGGGAATTTGCCCAACCAGTCTACATGTGCTTCGTGGATTTGGAGAAGGCGTTTGACCGCGTCCCTCGGGGGGCCCTGTGGGGGGTACTCCAGTAGTATGGGGTACCAGGCCCTCTAATATGGGCTGTTAGGTCCCTGTATGACCGGTGTCAGAGCTTGGTCTGCATTGCCGGCAGTAAGTCAGGCTCGTTCCCAGTGAGAGTTGGACTCCACCAAGGCTGCCCTTGGTCACCGATTCTGTTCATAACTTTTATGGACAGGATTTCTAGGCGCAGCCAAGTTGTGGAGGGCATCCGTTTTGGTGGCTTGAGGATCAGGTCTCTGCTTTTTGCAGATGATAATCTGAGACCATGGTCTTGATTCGGAAAAGGGTCAGGGATGAGGTCCTGCCCCAAGTGGAGGAGTTTAAGTATCTCGAGGTCTTGTTCACGAGCAAGGGAAAACTGGAGCGTGAGATTGATAGGCGGATTGGTGCTGCATCTGCAGTGATGCGGGCATTGTATCGGTCTGTCGTGGTGAAGAGAGAGCTGAGTCAGAAGGCGAAGCTCTCGATTTACCGGTCGATCTACGTTCTTACCCTCACAATGGTCATGAGCTTCGGGTAGTGACCGAAAGAACGAGATCGCGGATACAAGCGGCCAAAATGAGTTTTCTCCGAAGAGTGGCTGGGCTCTCCCTTAGAGATAGGGTGAGGAGCTCGGTCATCTGGGAGGGGCTCGGAGTAGACCCGCTGCTCCTCCACATCGAGAGGAGCCAGTTGAGGTGGCTCAGGCATCTGGTCAGGATGCCTCCTGGACGCCTCCCTGGTGAGGTTTTCCGGGCACATCCAACAAGGAGGCGACCTAAAGGTAGACACAGGACACGGTGGAGGGACTATGTCTCTCACCTGGCCAGGGAACGCCTTGGGATTCCCCCGGAGGAGCTGGCCCAAGTGGCTGGAGAGAGGGAAGTCTGGGCCTCTCGCCTTAGGCTACTGCCCCCGCGACCCGACTCCGGATAAGCGGATGAAAATGGATGGATGGATGTATATATATGTATATATATATGTATATATATATATATATATATATATATATATATATATATATATATATATATATATATATATATATATATATATATATATATATATATATATATATATATATATATATATAAATATACACACATATATATATATATATATATATATTTATATATATATATTAACTTAGTAAATCACAATTCACACAGAGGTTCACCATTTTTATGAACTGTTTTGTGATTCAAAAACACTAAAATCTGAAAACAATGTCTGAAATGACAGAAATTTTGTTATCGTCTGAAATGTTTGTGTTTCTCAAAAGTCCCCCCACTTACCACAGTGCTGGGAAGAAAATAGATTAGAAAAAGGCTTCTTCTTCTTCTCTTCAGGATGTCCTATCTAGACTTCATCAAGAACTTCTCCAAGGTGGAGATCTGCAACTTGACCCCAGACACGCTCTCAAGCGACGAAGTCGGCCGCTGGAACAATTACCAGTTTGAAGGCATGTGGAGGGTTGGATCTACTGCTGGCGGCTGTCGAAATAATGCCGGTTAGACACAAGTTCTGACTGTCTCAGAAACAATTTGTTTCCTGATGTAAACTATTTCATTTCTCTCTCTGTTGTAGCAACATTCTCATCCAACCCTCAGTTCGTGGTACGTCTGGAAGAGGTGGACGATCATCCTCTGGATGGAAAGGACGGTTGCACCTTTCTGGTGGGGCTGATGCAGAAGGGTGGGCGACAGAATAGGAGGCTTAACAGTGACCTGGAAGCCATTGGATTTGCCATTTACAAGGTGCCACAGAGTAATCTGATGCCTCATTTCAGAATAATCAGCTTCTGAAAAACAAGTAATTAAGTGTGTTTTCTTCTAACAGGTCCCCGATGAGGTTTGTATCAGCTTTGTTTTTCACAGTTTCTTTAATTTCATTTAGAAAATCTGCAGAAATCCTCTTGTTGTCTTGTTAGTTCAAAGGCCGAAGCAACGTTCACCTTGGCCCTGAAGTGCTGCTGCGTCAGAAAGCCGTTGCTATGAGCAGCACCTTCATCAACACCCGCGAAGTCTGCGAGCGCTTCAGACTCCCTCGTGGGGAATACGTCATAATTCCCTCAACCTTTCTGCCTCACAAGAACGGCAGTTTTCTCCTCAGGGTTTTCTCTGAGAAAGAGGCCAGCACCAGGTATCTGTGATGAGATTTAAATCAGAAATCTGGAGTTTTATTTTTTTTTCCAGATGGCACCATCTAGAGGTGGACAACTGTATTACGCCCTTTGAGCCCCTCTCATTACTTTCGTGTTTATGGCTGGAAGCAACACAACTCATTTGTGAATGCATGCCTCTAGCAAAGCAACAGACCTAAAACACATTGTTTGTTTCTATTTTAGTCGCCTGGATAAGAAAATTAATGCTGACATAAAAGAGGTAACTTTCTGCTCACCTCAAATCAAAGCATTTAGATAGAAAAAATATTCATTGTGTAGTAAATCAAACAATTTCAACATTTATGGTCCTCTCACCTTTCTGTGTTGCTCCACAGAAAGAGGTTTCTGAAAAGGACATGGACCCAAATTTCAAGAAACTCTTCAAGCAGATTGCTGGCAGCGTAGGTTGAGACAGTCATATGAAGGTTTTAATCTGTCATGGAGTTTACATTCAGGTATTAACCAGCACTTGGCTCCAAACAGGATATGGAAATATCTGCATTTAAACTGGTTGAAATGTTGAACAACATCGTGTCTCATCGTAAGTCCTTTGAAGAACTTTAATTTATTTACATGTAGCCTTTTGTCATGGCCTTAGTGAGTTATGTGTTGATAATTTTTTACAGGTTCTGACATAAAGACACACGGATTCAGCATTGAGACCGGGCGTCTCATCGTCAGTCTGCTGGACGTATCCTCTATTTCTAAAGAACTTTTAAAGTTTTAACAGTGTTTCATTTTTATAAGCCTTGACATTGTCCAGAAAGATGACAATTCCATGTTGGGATTGACTGAATTCTACGTGTTCTGGAACAAACTTCAGAAGTATTTGGTAAGATTCCGTTACACCAAAAAAGTAAAACGTGAAAGTTGGAAATTTGATATTAGACCAAAGACTGTGTGGGTTATGCAGGAGATCTTCAAGAGTCACGACACGGACAAATCTGGCACAATGAGCTCACATGAGATGAGAGCAGCAGCAGATAAAGCAGGTAGCACTCATCAGACACTAAAATGTAGAATTCACACTCAGGTGATGTTCCTTCATCTGGGTTCTTTTGCATGAACAAAAAATGAGCTTGTTGACTCAGCTGTGTGTGTATGTGTGTGTGTGCGTGCGTTTGCATGCACTTAAACTGGAAAAGCCAGTTAGGGCACTCCAGCCCTGCTCTCACAATCCATGCATGTACACTGTGGCCCCAAGAACAAAGGATGCATGGGTGAGACGGTGTCACATATCACTCTGCAAATATCTGACCCGTTTAAAACAAGAAAAAGCCCCAACAGGATAAAAACTCACCTTCATCTTTGGAAACGACCCATATAATCCACAAGATAATAAACATATGCTGTTTATTTTCCTTGCAGGGTTTCAGGTTAACAGCGCCCTCTTGCAGGCCATCGTCAATCGTTACGCCGACGCTCAGTACGCCATTGACTTCGACAACTTTGTGGGCTGTCTGATTAAACTGGAAATGCTCTTTAGTAAGTGGCGGCAGTCTCTCAAGCACATCTTTGCTCACATGCAACAAATGATTGTGTTCATAATAATGATGCTTTATTTTAATTTTTATTTTAATCAGAAATGTTCAAGACCCTGGAGAAAGATAACTCAGGGAAGATTGAGCTGAATCTGCAACAAGTATGCAATGAAATATCACAATCTGAAAGCTTTCTAGTTAAAACACTCGTATAAACTTTCTTTTGTTTTTCCTTGCAGTGGATGTGCCTGGCAATCTATTAAAGCAGAAGATGAAACAAGCAGGAACCAAGAAGAAAAAAATGATTTTAATCTAGACATTTTCAGTTAGATCTGAGTGATTACAATTCATGTGTAAAACTTCCTAAAATTGTTATGTGTGTGTCGATGTGTTTCTTTTTTGGATGTTTTAGACTAATTTTACACTCTTGCATTGCTATGCTTTATCTTTTGTGGACTATAAATGTCCTAATGATAATAAGACTTCTTTTAAAGCGTGGTTTATCTAGTAAACATCGGCGTGATCTTCTAGCTTCTTGTCCCTTGTTTGGCGACTTGAGCGCCACTTCCGCACTCCTGCCAGGCCGCGTTGCGGTGCGGTTTCTCCATCCAAGTTTTTTAAGGTCGGTTTATCCTCATTCCTCAGTGGTTTCTCCTCCTGTTCCCTCCATAAGCGTTTTTATAAACACCGTGGATCTAACCCTGCTAATTTATGTCATCTAACTCCAGCTGTTTCCGCATTTTCTGATTCCTCCTCCTCACTCAGCATGGCTCTATTAAACACCCGCTCTGTTAACAATAAGCCCTTCCTGCTCAATGATCTAATTCCCTCTAAAACCCTGTTTCTGACTGAAGTTTGGCAGCAAACATCTGATTATTCTGATCTGATTGAACTCTGCCCGAGTGGTTATTCTTTTCTTAGCCAGCCCCGGGGTTCTGGTCGTGGTGGAGGCCTAGCTGTTGTTTACAGAGACCATCTTCCATGTAGCTTTACAACCTCTGGTCACTTTGCTTCCTTTGAACTGCGGCTGATTAAAGTCGGACGTAAGGACCCGTTCTACTGTGCTGTGGTCTATCGTCCACCTGGTTCAAACAGTTCTTTCCTTCAGGAGTTTAGTAACTTTCTATCCTCCACTGTGAAGCTGTACAGACTAGCGATTGTTTGTGACTTTAACATCCACGTTGATGATCCCTCTGATCACTTTGCCATGAATTTCTCCAGCCTTATGGGCTCCTTCAGCTTTACCCAGCATGTTTCTGGCCCCACACACACACCAGGGGGCACACTCTAGACCTTGTTTTTACCCTGAGTCTAAATGCGGACAGCGTTTATCCTGAGGACGTTTATATTTCAGATCACTATTGCATTTTCTTTAACTTGTCAGTTTCTGCATCCCCACCTCCTTCTCGCCATCTGGTTAGTTCTCGTTTTCTTAATGAGAGCACAGCTAGCAATTTTTCTGCTGCTTTTGATCCATCCTGTTCTTCTGATAACGACCCAGATTCCTTAACTTCTCAGTTTAACGAGCACTGCCTCTCCATTCTGGACAACATCTGTCCTGTCAGAACCAGATCAGTTCCTGCAGAGAACCCTACTCCCTGGTTTACTGACAGCCTTCGCAGCCTGAAGCGCCAATGCAGAAAAAGCGTTTGTGGAAGAAAATCCATCTCCACGTCCATCTGCTGCACCTAAAGGATCTTCTGTCATCCTCTAACTCTGCAGTCAGAGACGCTAGGGTTTCCTATTTCTCCAACCTGGTGTCCCAGAGCAAAGGGAACCCCAAGGTGCTGTTTAACACCATCAGCAGCATCGTCTCTCCTGCCACTTCTACAGCCTCCATCCACTCTGTTGCAGACTGTGAGAACTTTCTGTCTTTCTTTGTGGACAAAGTCAATAAGGTTAGATCTAGCATCTCTCCTTCAGTCTTATCGCTGCCTCTCCCGACTCCAACCAGGCCCATCATCCTAGATAGCTTTGCTCCTGTTTCTTTGCCTAAGTTAACCAAACTAGTTAACTCTATGAAGACCTCTGCATGCCCCTTTGACATCTTACCCTCATCTTTGTTTAAAAGTGCTTTTCAGTCCATCGGTCCCAGCGTGCTCTCTATAATTAATGCTTCTCTGGTTTCTGGTCAGGTCCCTGCTTACTTTAAGAATGCTGTAATCCACCCGCTTCTTAAAAAAACGAGTCTGGACCCCTCTCTCCATAGCAGCTTCAGACCCATCTCTAAACTTCCGTTCATCTCCAAGATCTTGGAAAAGGTTGTGGCTAAACAACTCACAGCTGCTCTTGATGAACATAACATCTATGATAGCTTCCAGTCAGGTTTTTGTAGAGCTCATTCTACTGAAACAGCTCTTCTTAGGGTCTCTAATGACCTTCTGACCCACAGTGATGCAGGGGACTGTTCTGTTCTGGTCCTGCTGGACCTGCCTGCAGCCTTGGACACTGTTGACCATCACCTGCTACTGGAGGCGGAGAGACTGGGTCGGCATATCAGGAACTGCTCTGGAGTGGTTCTCCTCTCATCTGTCTGAGCGCTCCTTTTCTGTGGCCGTCTCCATGTTTACGTCCTCCACCACCTCCCTTACTCATGGCGTCCCACAAGGTTCTGTGCTGGGGCCTCTGCTCTTCCTCCTCTATCTGCTTCCTCTTCAGCACATCCTGAGCTCCTTCAAAGGAATTTCCTACCATCTTTATGCAGATGACATCCAACTGTACATCTCCTTTAAGCCCCATGAGATGTCTAAGCTGCAGCTGTTACACACCTGCTTAGACTCTATCAAAACCTGGATGGCTGGGAGCTTTCTACAGCTGAATGAAGATAAGACTGAGATCCTCATCTGTGCCCCAGACAAGCTGGTTCCCAAAATCAGAGACTCTCCTGGTCAGCTTGCTTCTCACACCAAACCTTCCGTCAGGAATCTTGGCGTGACCTTTGACCCAGTTCTCACCCTGGATTCTCATGTCAGTTCTCTTGTTCGCTCTTCCTTCTTCCATCTCAGGAACATTGCTAAGCTGAGTCCCATTCTGTCCCACTCTGAACTTGACTGTTCTCCACACCTTCATCTCCTCATGCTTAGACTACTGTAACTCTTTTCACGTGTCTGAGCAGAACCTCCCTGAACCGTCTACAGGTGGTTCAGATTGCCTGTGCTCGGCTTCTGACCAAGTCATCCAAACACATCCACATCACCCCCTTCTCCTCCAGCTTCACTGGCTGCCATTCAACTTCAGGGTTCATTTCAAGACCCTGGTCTGGTCTATAGGGCCTTACATGGACAAGCACCATCTTACATAGGTGATCTTCTTAGTCCCTACACCCCCAGCAGGTCCCTGAGGTCCAGTGATCAAAGCCTACTGGTTGTGCAGCACACCAGGCTAAAGACCAAAGGTGACAGATCATTTGCTGCTGTGGCTTTTGTATGACCTTCTTCAACCACTCTCTCTCTCCCCACCTATTCCACCTTCCTCAGGATCCACTGATTTCCCTCTTTCCTATTCACTCTCTCTTTCTTACATTTTTTAAATCACAATTGTCTATTTTTTGCTCATTTTAAATATATTTTAATCATTTTCTAATTTTTTTTAAATATTTTTACATTTTTTGTTTTTGTGAAGCGCCTCGTGATTTTTATCTTGAGAGGCGCAATAGAAATGATATCTTCTTCTTCTTCTTCTTCTTCTTCTTCTTCTTCTTCTTCTTCTTCTTCTTCTTCTTCTTCTTCTTCTTCTTCTTCTTCTTCTAATGGGATCAATGGGTGTTTGAAGTGTCTGAGAAAATAAAAGAATACAAATAAAACCCTCTTGAGTCATTTATAAAATAAACCATTACACACATTTTAATCCAAACGTTTAAAAAAAACACTCAACTCAGCATTTGTTTGCTTTGTCTCATCCTGTGAACCTGAAAAAGCTGTCTGGCATGAACAATAAAGAGTGTGGAAATACTTCAGCTGCATGCAGAGCCTGTCTAACTGAACATGCAGAGAGAGAGACAGCAGCAGGCAGATGGTGCAAAGATCCTCAGAGATGTTGGGCGTAGCTAAGATTCACTGCAAGCTCCAGAGGGACAGGATCCAACTCTCAAGCAGTGAAATATCTGACCCAAGACTTCAAGGAGAAGCTGTTTGGAGAGAGGACAGCTGATGACTGATCTGAAGCTGTGCCCTCATAGGCTTCAGTGAACTGGGATCTAATTCCTACAAGGTTCGAGGGTTCACCTGACCCACTGCGAGTGCTCCATTTACAGACTTGAAGTCGGAAAAATCTGTTTTAATAACTTATTTCTGCTAGAAACTAAAATATAAGGATGGAAAAAACTTTTCTGTGAGGTTTATGTAAATAAAGGCCCTCGTTTATATTTTTGTTTATCCATTTCCAAAAGAGTGGTGCTCCACTGCAGGATGTAAGAAATAAGTTTGTTATTCCCGAATCTTAACAGGAATAACAAAATCCTGAAGGGAGAATTGTTGATTTTTATATTCATTAACATTCAAGTATGCTTAAATGGGATGTTAGGAGGGCACAAAAAAGAACGCTCATGCAGGAAGAGATTTAGTTTGTTCAACTTTTTTTAAATTGCAAATGAAAAATTTCCAAGGAATTGTGCTCCAATTCAAAATTCATCAGCGAGAATGCTACCAGTACACACACACACACACACACACACACACACACACACACACACACACACACACACAGTCATGGTCTGCATTCTGCGTCTCCCTCATGTGTCTCCTTGTGTTCTCCATCCCTCTCTAGGTTCCCCTTATGTGTCTCCTTGTGTTCCTCGTGTGTCTCCTTGTCTGCATCCCACCTCATGTGCTCCTTGTGATCCCCAACCCCTCCAGGTGTCCCTCTAGAATCCCCCTCATGTCTACCCAAGCTTCCTGTACCCCTTTTTGTCCCTAGCTCCCTCCCAGTCTCCCTCAGGTCTCCCCTAGTGACCCCACTGTAGTTTTTCTATAGGTTCAGCTTTTTCATTTTATTAGTCTCCTTTAGTGTGTGTTTCCTTCCCCACGTGTTAATTAGTCTCCCTCACTCCTCAGGTCATTAGTTATTTACTCTTTGGTTCTCTTGTGCCCTTAGTCTTTTAGGTTTATTATTTATTTAGAGATTCATAGGTTAGGGTTTATCCCCTCTGCTTGGTTTTCCCTTCCCATTTAGTTAATTGATCTCACCAGTCTCCCCTTAGTTCTCTCTCCCCACGCACCTGCTCCTTGTCTCCCAATCACCCAGTTCCTGTGTATATAACCCTGTCTGCGTCTCATTGTTTTGTCGGTCCATTGATGTTTGTCAGCGTGCTTTGTCCCCCCACTAGGTCTCTGCTCATGAGTGAGCTTTTGGTTTTGTCTTTCAGTTTAGATATCAGGTTTGGCTTCCTGCTTTTTTGGATTTTTTGTTCCCCATCCTAATAAAAGGTATTTTGACTTTTACAAATCGCTCCTGCC